TCTCTCTCTCTCTCTCTCTCTCTCTCTCTCTCTCTCTCATCAAGAATCGGAAAATATCCCACAAACAATCGAAAAACAGATTTCGATGCCAACACGATTCATTATGAACTTCAATGTTCTCCAACATGTTGACCATCCAACATAGTTACGTTGCTCGTTCCAGATTCAACCTGTACATCAACCTGTCCACCACGATTGTCCACCGTCCTTCGTCCGGGTCGAATTTTCGCCTTCGGCCGTTCGCCGTCCAGGGCTCCCCTATCATCTCCACGACCGCCCCGTCAGAAAAGTTGGCCTGAATACCTGGTAAATACCGCGTAAGTAGCAGGGGACCGAGCAGTCAGTCAGTCAGTCAGTCTCTCGCGAGTCAGTCAGCCTCGTTCCCGATGGCAACCGGCACATCGGTCGTTACCTGTCCGGGGAGGTGGTAAGAGTGGCCAAAGTGGGGAGCAGAACACCTGGACGACTTCCTGCCAGGGAGTAAGCACCTCAGTCTTCAGGAAAGATCGTTTCACGTCGGTCGTTTCGAGCTCCACTTTTCTTTTTCCCCCCCTCTCTCTCCCCTCCCTCTCTTCTTCCATACAGTTTTGAATCAGAAACGGAGGAAAATACGTCGGAAAGAAAAGAAGAAGAAGAAGAACGAGAATAAGAAGAGTAAGGATAAGGGAGGAGGGACACTTTTCTTCTCGTCGTGTCTTCTCGGTCGTAGCCTTGGAAAAATTGCGAAATGACGTTGGGATCGAGATACGTTCGGTGAGATTCGCGAGAGTGATCCGTTCCTTTTTTTTTTTTTTTTTTTTTTTTTTTTTTTTCCTTTGCTTTGGATTAACGAGGAGATCGAGAATCGGTGGTGATCACGATAACAATCGTTGTTGGTACGCCTGCCAGCTGATTCGAAGGGGGTTTGCATCGGTGAAGAGATGGAGAGGAGAGCCGTGTTGATCCTGGCCGTCGTCGTTGCTTTGGCCGCACGAGGTTTGTATCATGTTTGAATAATATCTCGTTCGAAAATTGGAAAATTCGAAAGAGAAAGTTTTTTACGAATCTCTTCAGAAGAGATTTTCCATTTAATCGTTAAACGAGATTGTCAAAGATAAAGAAGGAGGATAATATTTAAATAACGTTTATGAAATCTCTCATTTATCTTAAACAGGGCGTCCTGTTCTATTTAGATTAAACGTGGAAAAATGTAGAATTATCTAATTAAGGAAATCTCTTGGGGGGGGGGGGAAACTCTTGGAGAACAAAGAGTCTCTGTGTCTCTCTTTTATGGAAGATAAAAATCTTGGAAGATATTATTATTTTTATCGCGACAAAATATCTCGTGGACGATTGGAAGAGAGATATGCGAAGAGAGCAGTTTTTCGACGACTATAAAATTAATTATCGTGTGCAAGATATGAGTTTCCTTTTAAAAATGGATGAAAAAAGATCGTGTTCATCTTCCAGGGATTTGTTCTTCTTTTTTCTTTTTTATTAACGACTGATTCGTCCTATTTATTTATTATTATTATTATTATTATAATTGCTCAATAGTAAGCGTGAAGTAATTTTAGAGATGGTTGAAAACAGATAGGAGAATTGTGAAAAAAAAAAAAAAAACTGAATATTTGTCTATTCAAATTTAAATTTTCGATTTCTATTCCAGATAATTATTATTTATTACTTGTTTTCACGAATCGAGGAATGGAATGGAAAATTATTGCGAAAAATTACGAGTAGTAAGAGGTGTCGATATAGAAAAAATTCGTGACTTATCGAAAATTGATGGAAGAGAAATTTTCCCCCTTTTGGATATTTTGTGACACTGAAATCTTATACTTATTATGAAATTATGAAATTTTACTTCACGAATTTACTTTGAATAGTAAGTTTCAAAAGTGTCTGAATAAAAATAACAAATAATTCAAGAGTAAGTGAGTTCACATTTTACGAATAAAAGATAGAATAAAACTTTTTCATAAAGTTCCTCGAGTTGCAGAAATTGTTAAAAATTTCCAAAATTTCCAATCCACGCAAATTTAATTCGAATCATAGCTGGAGAAATCTATCCTACGAATAAGATAATTCAATTGCAAATTTATCAGGGAAAAATCGCAAACAAAAATATCCTCTTCCACTCATCTCAACGATCACAATCGTCTCTCTCTCTCTCTCTCTCTCTCTCCCCAGCAAAACGACTCTTATTTCCCTCTTATTTCCCACGTCGTTTCCTCACACACACACACACTTTTCTCCCAGTTTTTAAACCACTTCCTGAATACGTACCGTGTTCCCAACTAATTACACTCTTCCGTTCGGATCGCTAGTCAGTCGTGTCAATCCTTCCTTTCCAACCCTTTCATTCCCATATCTCGCATCTTCCCCAACTCTTGCCTCGATCGATCGATCGATCGATCCTCGGCGAATTATCAAATTCTTCCCGCCGCTGCGCCCTTCATCTTTCAAAATTGCCAGTAATTTCACCACGCCCTGTACACAAATCCCCTCCCCAATATCATTTGCGCTATCGTATTACATTAATTGAATCTTTTGTATGTACAGATATGATGTAATATGTATGAGACATATATTTTTAAAAAAAGCATAACATGCCGCGAATCCTTCATTTGGCTGTGAAAGAAAGAAATTTTAAAAGAGATCGTGTCACCAACGAAATGTTTGAAAGAGCTTTAAGAGAGAAATCGATGCCATAAACGGCTAATAGATAAGCTTGTATATAGTTTATATGAAAATAAAGTTAAAGGTTATTCTTAGCATACTTATATCGTAATATAATTGTCGCGTTCTACGATTGAATCTTATTAGAAGGAGATATGGTAAATTTCCTTTTATTAAACGTCTCTCTTTAATTAAGATGCTATACGAATTAATTTCTTCTGAAATAATTTCTTCGAGATATTTTCGTTTCGAAATTGAGAATTTTGAGGATCGAATTTAAACTCGTAATAATCCGAATTGCAAGGTGAAATCTTTAAGAATAATTATAATTTCGTCTTCGAACATCGATCGACGAGCAAAACGAAAAGAAGCAAGCACTGACAATTTTGGCGTCGACCACCGCTTCCCAGAAATCAGGAGGAGAAGTGGAGGAGGTGAAACGATCGAAAACTATCGACACGCGCGATATCGAGTGAATATCGCGCCAGATTTTCTTCTCTCGAAAACAAAAGAAGATGGTTTAATTAGCCTTGCCCGGCTCCTTAATTTCCCACGATTCCCGTAAAGTAACGGGAGAGACGGAGCGGCGGCGGAGGAGAGGAGGGGAGGGGAGGAGAGGAGGGGAGGGGAGAAGAGGAGGAGGGCGGGGCTCGACCTTCCTCCTCTTCTCACCTACTTTTGCCCCGATTATCCACTTTTCCTCGAACGTGGGCGAAACCACGTGTTGCTACTACTTTGTATTATCGAATTATTCTGTCCTCAGGATGGATACGAGGAGGGCGAAAGAGATTAAATTTCTTTTTCTTCGATTCACAGTTTTCGTTATCGACTTGCGTTAATTTTAAATTTACATTAATTGAATCTTTTTTTTGTACAGATATAATCGTGAGATCGTCTTTAAAGGAATCTTGAGAGAAAATTTATTTGACGATGTAACAACAAAATGAATATATAATCTTCTGAAGCAAACATTGGCCTGGATTTCGTTTGTTAATCGTCAAGTTAGATTCAGATATTGTTATATAATATTCCTCGTCACTTTTCTTTCTCTGCAAATTATAATCTGATGTTCTCGATGTTAAATTGGATTTTTCATCTCATAGAAGTTGATATATTATTATATATTATTATATATATAAAATTGCAAGATTTCTTTTTCTTTTATTCCAGAAGAAGTAGGATATCTTTAAAAAAATTCGCATAGCTATTGAATCGAAATGAAATTTCTACGATAATCAAAGGATAACGGTTGAAGTAGCCGTGACCTGATACTCGCACCGGAATAACTTTTACCCTTGCAATTGTAACTCGCTGTGTCCACTGACCTACATATAACGCCCGTATATATACGCGAAATACAAGAGACTGTCATCGATAATCTGCCTAAGAACGAACATATTTTCGAAAATATATATAAAAGTTTTAAATTGAATCAGAAATAATTTCACTTTAGGAAAAAAAAAAAAAAAAAAAAGTATTCTTTAAAAAAATATTTCGATACAGTTAATATCTCTTTGAAATCTGTTGAAAGAGAGGATTTTAAACGAAGGATTGGAAATTGAACGTGAGAAAGAAACGTGAGGTTGAATCAAAGTCAAAACTGGTTTCTAAATACGATCTTTATCGGGATTAAAAATGTTCAAAAAAAGTGTTGTGGAACGAGGATGAAGGGATAAATTATTTCTCCTCTAAATCTTATCACCGGTGTTTGGGAACAGATATTCCTTCGCGCATAATTGTGCCAACTTTCATCTCTTCGAACGAGTTTATAATCGAGATTCTTTGCCCTCGTGAAACGATTTCCGTTTCCATTTCCGACTCGTAATTATCTTAAGCGACAACAACTTTTCAACAACTGTGCCAATATCTTTTTATTCGAGCAGCGTCTCTTTATCGGGATAAAAATCTAAGTTTTATCAGAGAATCTCAGAATACTCGGATTCTTGACTATTTTTGAATAATAGAAATACGATGATCGGTTATTTCTTGAGATACAATTAATTATTCACGAAATAATTTAAACCATATCTTGAAATTCTAAAATTTCAAAACTCGACCCGACAAAGATCGATCGAGTTATTAATTTTCGAAGGAAATTTTTTTTTAACAAGAAAGAGAAGATTTATCTCTCATTTTATCTCTTTCCACGGTGTTTTATTCTTTTTCCATCGTGCTCACCAGCGAGCGAACGGCCTCCTTCCACAAAGGTCTGGCCTATGCTTGCCGAAGATTATCGAGCAACATCTCGTTTTCCGCAAAAGTTTCCACTCTTCCTTCTCCTCCTCCTCCTCCTCCTCCGACGCTTCGTTGCATCCGCTCGATGTAGGTCGATCATCGTAATTGTTAAGCCGTAAATCGGGGCAGAACAAAAAAAAAGAAGTTTATTCCTCGTACATCGACTTTTGTTAAACGCGCGATTCGAAAAACGGAAGTATCGAGATTCGTGATTCGAATTGAAAAGAAATACTCGACCAGTGTCGTCGAACCTTTTAATTAATGCAATAACGATTTTTAATTTTTAATATCTTTAATAGAAATTTAGTTTTATTAAATATAAATATTAATAATAAATAATTTTAATTTTTAATAAATATTAATAATAACGTATTAAAAATTTCGTTTCAAGATATCTTCGTATTATACGTAATCTCGTTCGATTAATCATCTCGAGCGTAATAAAACAAGGAGGAAAAACAAGGCTCGATCGATAATTTCGAGAAAAGGTTACATCGGCTGACATCATTGCTTACACGGCTATATAACATCGCCCGTATTGGCAAACACCGATTGCATCAGTGGCCGATTCTAGATTTCCAGTTATGGTTTCACTTTTGTCTTCTTCTTCTTCTTCTTTCTTTCTTTTTTTTTTTTTTTTTTGTTTGCTCGACTCGTGTTGCGTTCGAACGTTTGGCAAAAGTCGTCGAGGAATGGATAAGTTTTTCGATAACTCTTCCCCTGCGACAGGGGCAGGAAGACAAAGGTTGGTGATAAATATGTAAATCGCGTACAACGAACCGTTACGTTAGTCGTCATTTCTCTGTGTACAGTCGAAACCGTTTACCAAGATTGTTAAGGAGTGCCGTTTAGACAAACTTTCCGACTATAATTATTCCAATGAAAATCTTGTGTGCTTAACCTCTTAGAGTCATCGAACGAGATATCAATTTTAATCCGTTGCATTTAGTTCCTTTGCGAGAAAAATAGAGAATTTGATCTCGATTTGATATTCGATCGAATGATCGAAGAATAAAATTTTTAAAAATTTTTGATTCTTTTTTCGCCTCTCGAACGAATCCTTTCTCGTTAAATCCTGGAAAGGAATTCATTTCGCAACCGCTTCCGTTATCTTCTCGAATATGTGTTTCAAGGTATTGTAGCCGCGCACGTGCCATTCCTCTATTGTCTCCTAAATGAATTCGTCGAGTTAACACTTTTACAGTTAACGCGTTGTTACTCGGGAGTTGGCAGAAGCCGTTATCTGTATAAATCTCATCTTCTCTCATTTTTCTTTTCCGCCTTCGATAATCGACATCCTGCAATAAACCTAAATACCGATACTATTCTATTTCAGATACCACTTTCCTTCTAATCTAATCTCTCCACCACGATTTGCAGTATTACAGATTTTGTAATAAAGTTATTTCTTTCAACGTTCTCTCATCGAATTTGAATTCTTCGAGGCAGGAATTTTTAAGAGCGAATAGAATTCAAAATTGGAAATTTTAATTCTAAAGTAAAATTATTTCAATTCAAATTCTGGATATCTCGGAATTTTTACAAATTTTTCGAGATCGAAAGGTAATTACGAATATCGTTAATTCGGATCGAAAGATACGAAAGATTAACGTATGCAAATATTTAATCTCTTTCGAGCGTATAAAATACATTTCAAGGCAAGAAAAGAAGCCAGTGAAATTCTAAAATCTAATTCACTCCACTTTCCATTCACCTAAATATATTCCATTCCATTCCATTCCATTCCATCGCGCGTTTAAATTGAGTTAATAAATACATCCGTTAACTCGTCTCTCTGGATCTCTGAAGAGAGCAGAAATCGATTCCGATTTCCGCGTGGAATCCCCGTGTTTGGAATGCAAGTCGACGTTGGAAAGCAAACGCTTTGGATCTTCTCGATTCAATGACCAGAACGGCGATGGACGACAAAAAATGGTGGAAGGAAGAGGAGAGGAAGGAAAAATCGTCGCGTTACGCAAACACGTCGGACGAGGTGAAATTTCGCGAGGTTTTCTTCGCCCTCCCCTTCCTTCCTTCGGCGAGCGTGCAAATACGTAGAACATCGGCACAGTCGATGACTTCCTAGGTGATTGCGCGAAAGCCGCAGGATGTGAGCTGCTTGCATTATCGTTTCCGTCACGGGTCCGTGGCGTTTTCTTCTGCTTATCTACACCCACGTAGCGAACAGCTAGTTACCAAAGATTATTGATTTAACGGCTCGTGATGCCATCGTGATAGAATCTCGCTCGAAATAGTTTCGTACTGGTTGTTGGTAGGGTAGAGTGGGACGAACTGAGAGAGATATTTTGTTGGTAATAAAAATCAGAAGGTGAGAAAAGCTTGGAAAAAGTTTTTTTTTTTTTAAATAAACAAAGCTTGAATTATCATTGGGAACGAAAAGATGTAAAAATTGAATTACAGTGAATATTATTCTTCTACTTTTTGATTATTTATTTCGTTAATTTCTATACAAATTTTTAATATAATTTCTATTTCTTATTTCATAATTAAAATTGGATAAGAATCTTTCATCACAATTTCTATATTCGGTATGATTTTATGTTATTTTCAATGTTTGTTTGAATAATAATCAAATTTCAGATTTCACAAGTAAATTTTATATTCAGATTGTGTATTTTATACCTTTATATGTATTTCTTTTTCATATTCATTTATAAAATAAATACCAACTTTATCTCGAAACATTTTCTAAAAAATAATGCAATTCTTCGATCTTTCGTGACTAATTATACGAATAATGCAACGTTTTATTGCTCGGTTGGTAATCGGTGTACGTGGTATGCACCGTGGCTCACAATGTTGTTGCCGTTGGCCTCAGGTAGGACATGCAACTCACGTCATCACGCACGAGCTGCATTAAAGTCATTGTAAACCGGGACGTTGCCTCATCGAGCGTTGGAGTTTTCAACTCGATGATTTCAATGGCCAGCCTCGTCGCCTTCGTGAACACGAATAGACATCCAGCTCACCGATTCAGTCTTTTTCCCCCCTTGCGTTTTCCCTCTTTCCGTTCGCTTTACGCAATTAGAATCAACGATCGATCGAAGACATTGATCGCTTGTTTTGTCCATTTTCATTATGTTTTTATATAATGTATAAGAGTTTCTTTTATTTTAGTTCCGTATAATACGATATAATGACTTCTTTTTTCGAATATTAACGAGTAAAGTAGAGAAATCATTTTTGAAATATGTCAGCAGCAGCATGAATTAGCTAAGGTTAGTTCGGAACGATTCAAGCCATCCATTGTTTAATGGTCCAATATTTTAAGCTGTACAATCAATTATATAGTTTCTTGTGTCTTCTTATATCTTTCTACGACCATAATTAAACGATTGATCATGCAATAGAATCTCGTTTATCACTTCGAACTGCGGATAAACGACGTTTACTATAATTATCGAAGCGATATATCGAAGTATCATCGTTTACAAGCACATTTATAAAAATTAAACAAGAACGTGGTTTTCTTATAATTCTACATTATCGATCAGGGCTCGAACACGATTGAAACTGTCTAACTACACGATCATTATTATTATTAGTTGTTATGCCGATGTTTAGCGCGTTAAAGCTTGATAAATGGTACCGGTTACTCGATAATGATGATGTCTCTGTCGGTTTACAGGTTGCAATGGTGCCGGATGCGGATACCCTGGGGCCCCAGCGCATAGTAGCGTCCGGTTCACGGGTGCAAGTGCCGAGGACGTTATAGATGAGGAGGATGCCCTTCTAAAGGACACGGTGCTGCTCGAGGGCACCGTGGCTACGTATTCCTGCGAACGAGGCTTCGAGCTCCTCGGCCCTGCGCGAAGACAGTGCCAAGTCGATGGCTCTTGGACACCGGAAGGAGTGCCATTTTGTGGTAAGTTTTTAATTATAAAATTTTTTCGAAGAAATTTTCAAATACAAAATAGAAAGTGAATACAAAATTTATAAAGTGAATTTTAATTACTAATTTATCAAGTATTTTGATGAAGCAATATTAAATAGTAGAATAAATATCGTTTAATTTTTATCTTTTGATTTTTGTGCATATTCTTTTGTATTATAATTCTCACGTTCGAAGATGAATAGGTTGTATCGGAAGATTGAAGAATGAAAATGAGAAAGGAATATTGTATGTAAAAGACACGAGGTGGATAGATTGTGCTGACAAAAGAATTGTTGGAAAAGGTGTTGGTATGTAATCGGAGGACAAATACGTTTGCGGATGTAGACTTAAGAGAAAGTTTCACGTTCCGAGGAAACTTATATACGTACTTCCGGTCACGCCTGTTGTTAAGTGTTTTATCAAATAACGAATTGATATTTATGATGCATAGAATACATTTGCAGCATAATAATAATTCTCAAGCAAAAAAAAAATTCAAACCATAAGATTAGATTTTATTGTTAACATTAATAACAATAATTAAATTACTTTCAAGAATAATGATAATTCTGAAATTTAAAAATCAAATTAAATAGATTAGAAACGATAGATAGATTAGAATTTTTTAACAAACAAAATTTACAAATGTTGCGTTATACTTTTGAGAAAATCGGTTTAATACTTTTTGAAAAAAATTTTTTTTTGTTTTTTTCAATGAAAAAAAATTCCACAAGGAGAATATGCGTACGAATCGTCGGTACAAAATTTCGGGAGGCAAGTGACCTGATTCAGGGTGTCCTTGACCGAGGAGACAGTAAAAGAAATGGCAAAGATAGTGGGGGCTTTGCACCGTTAAGTCTGAACCTGTTACCTCCTAACAACGCCCGCGGCCTTCTCAACCTGGCGCGCATTCCTCGCATAGGTTCTGTCCTTCCTGGCCCACCTCGAATTTATTTCCTCCTTCAACATTCCGATCTCTCGAGATCAACCCTTCGCTCGGTACAGCATTTATTTATTTCGGTTATATAAATTTTTTGACCGTAAAGTGATTCGTGATAAAGCAAATAAGCGGTTACGATTAAAATTTTATTTTAGAATTGTTTAATCGATGATTGCAAAATAGATGGAAGGAAACGAGTAAAGTAAAAAAAGAAAAAAAAAACGATGACATTTAAGATTTCTTTTTTTCTTTTCTTCTTCTAAAGTAAAATCAATCACTTTAATTTTCTCGCTTAATGATCGCTTACGATTCTTCTTACCTTGTTATTTAAGAGAGATTTTTCTAAAAGAAAACAACCGCTTTTAATCTAATGGAACTTTATTGCACGAACAGTTATCATCTGTGACGAAGTGAATTCGTCTTGTCCAATAACAACAAAAATAATAGCTATGAATGAAATTTAAAAAGAAAAAAAAAAATATTAAATATTATCCAAACGATTTAAGAAAATTTCATAAACGATAAAAAAAATTATTTATAATAATAAATCCAAGTTCGAATACCTGCTTTTATAATTTTATTTTTATCTTTAATCACGTATCAAACGTGAAGGATATTTATTCAAATCATACGAGATACGAGATGTAACCGACAATCCAAAGAAACGGCATAAAATATCCGAGAACTGGGTCGTCATGGCGTCGAATTAGAACTACGTGATTCCGACACGGTGGAACGATCGCAACGTTTGCCCTCCACCTTATTCAAAGTATTTTTGTAGCTGAAAAAATTACACGCACATTCCAATACCGATCTTGTGTCTAATATTAAAGAACAGTTAATTCTTACCTTTTTTTCCTTTTCCTTTTTTTATTTACCGATAAGATGAAAAAGAATTCCAAAGTATACTTTAATCGATACAAATTTCCATTCGATCAGCATAAATGATAAACTAAAAGATATATATGGTAATATGTAAGTAAAGTTTGAGTTCAATCGATGAAGCATATAAAGTATGCCTGTTGGAAAGTAGCTTCGAATCCAGGATCCCATCAATCCTTTTACCGTTCTATCGTGATCTTTGACTGGATAAAAGATATTATTTAAGATATTATTGAATGATCGTTGATGAGCTATCTATTGGTATCTGTTGAGTATATTATATTGGGTTGATTCGTGATCGATGAGGATCCGTGTATGAATATTCTTATTAGAATTATTATTAAAATTATTTTTTTATTTTGAGGAATAATATTAAATTTTATATTTATTCGATGGCATAATAATGGCATTGAATTTTATCATTTTACTAATGGACATTTCCTTATTTGAAGTACAGTAAAAATTCTTTTCAGTGTTTTTCGAGTTGTTATTTATATTCGAATTATTTACGACGCTTCAATCTTCGTATAAAATAAGGGAAATTAGAAAAAAATTAATGTTTTTCAATTTTTTTTTATCTTAATATATTAGAACTCCTTCCCAATGAAAAAGTAGAGAAATTTTAAAGGATGAACAAATTCCTGCAAAAAAGAAATTAAATTAATTAAAAATAATAACAATTCTTCGAAAAATACTTTGCAATCCTCTTGAAGATCCAAAACTCTTGACACATCGGTTGAAAAATTCACTGAATTGTGAATATTTTAATTGATATTTCCCAAGTTTTCTAAGTAATTTCGAGAAGCTGTTTCGATTGCTTGCGAGGGAAACCGTACCACTTTGTTTGACTTCAACCAACAGACCTGAACAGCCAATGAAGCGATATTTAAAGCTTAATCACTCAACGATGTTCATAAAAATTGGAGCATGAAGATCTTTTCGATCTTTCAACTTCGTTTAATCCGAAAGTTTCGATTGATTTTCTTTTGGAATGGATAAAATAAATAAATAAATAAATACAAATATATTGTAAACGTAAATATAAAATTATACAAAATATTCCTTAAATTGTTCTACTTACATACAACTTAACAAAAAATGCATTCATCAACTGGTTAAGAATATTTTTACATAATTTTACAACATAACAGTATTAAACAACTGTTATTATCATTCCAATTTGTGCAACGAACAAATCACATGTGCAATTTTCCTCTTTTCTCGAATATACATATATTTGCTCGGGATCGGTTACTATTATACCATATTATAATTTGACATGGACTGATTTCATAAATAAACAAGCAGACAGAGATTTCGCAGTGTCAGTAAGCGTTTTCTCGTAATTTTCTGCCAGCCTCGACAGCGGATTGCCACTTACGCACTTATGCGTGAACTTGACTTTTCGAAGGTAAACTTGTACGCCGTTCACTGCTACCTGGATCGACGTAATCGCGTTTATTTACCGTAATTTTAATTATCGAGTGTAAATAAATGAATGGGGGGAAAAAAGATACTGTTCCATACTGTGATATAATCTGGCCAATGATTTCCAAGTTTCATCAAGAGATCAAAAAATTTCAAGGTGTTTCTTACTATGTGTTCAGTAGTCAATAGTTTAATAGTATAGATGTAAAGATAAGATGAAAAATTTCCTTGAGCCACTTTCATTGATTTTTAATTCAATCCTTGATTTTTATTCTTATTTAAAGAATCCTTAAAAAGATTAATTAATTATAAATAATTTTTAGAAAGAAAAAAAAAAGAAAAAGTGAATACCTTTATTTCGATCAACTTAATGAAATAAATCCGTCTCGAAACGTATGTATGTAATCGTTCCTGGAAAATTGCACTTCAACGAAGCGAATGAATCGATGATCTCGTTTCTAGTTATCGAGTAAAATCGCGTTCTTCTTCTTCTTTTTTTTTTTTTTTTTTTTTTGCATCCGCAAAGTGCGCACCGCGTAATTTTTACGCCAACTTTCACTTGTTTTCTTTCGATTTTTCCATCCGTAAAGGTTCTAATCATCGTCTTCAAAGCTCCGTGATGAGAGTTAAACACCATTTGTGCTTTTGCAAATTCTTTTCTTCTCGGAGAGATCGTAAACTTGGTGGTATTTATGACTGGCACGATGATGAACTCGTTCGATACTTTCTACGAATGTAAAACGCAGTTAGCATTTTGCCATTAAATGCGAGATCATTTTTTTTTAACGTAACTTTTTTCACGAATATAGAATTATAAATGATATTTGATCATTTTATATCTTACAAATTAAGCGAATTATAATGCAAGAAACGATTTAAAATTTCTTGAAAGGATACACACACACACACACACAATCGTATATATATATATATATATATATACGATTATTCTAATCTTAATTAGAGTTTCAATGATATGCAAATACTTACGATTAACATTCTCCACCTTTAACATTGTTCCGTGCATAGAAATAGAAAACACCTTCGCATGCATATGCGTGACCACTAACTGGCAATAACGTGCTAAAATTGAACTATTACAATCGACCAATTACGGTTTAATCGCTTCAACGCTTCTTAGCATGTAAATCGCTTGTATCTGTATTCCAATCGTTAGTCCTACTTATAAATATTCAAGTAATGCATCTGTGTATATAGATACATGTTTTGCGTTTAAAATGTTGAAATAATAATCTATATATACGTACTCATATTAATTTAAAAATTTAAGAAGTGAGGCTGAAATAAATCAAGAAGTTTTGGAGCAAATAAATAAAAAATTAAGAGTAAAAAAATTGGAAGCTTCGTTTTTTAGGTTATCAATTTAAGTTATCAAGGATATATTTTCATCGATTTTCAATAATTCCTTCTCTTATTTTATTTTTAAAACAATATGTATATAAAAAAATACGTACTTTGAAGGAAAATACTCGATCGTTTCCTTAAAATCATATTGTTAATTATATTGTTGCGATCAAAAAAAAATTCGTAAAATTACAATTTCAATAACGAGAAACCGCTTTCCTTTGTTCCGGTCTTGGTCGATAACTATACCAGCACGTGGTGAAACTCGTCTCTCTTTTTGCTCGATCCAACGTGTTTGAATAGATATATCGAAACCTTTCGTAATAATCCGTGTAAGAAGTAACTGTAAATTATGACGTATCCACGTGTGTGTCGAGAACGCGTGTGGGAACGAGTATAACTGAAAGGAGTCGGTATGTAGGTTTAGGTCGAGAACGCATCAATTACACGTTCTCTGTATAATCTATCTGCGCTTGGATAAAACGTACTCTCGACTTTGTAATCGAATAATTTTTTTTTCTTAAAAACTATTTAAGAACTGTTCGAATGCTTTCGAAATTCGAATTCTTTGACTTCGTGGTCTTGGCTTTTTTTCCTTCTTCGCATATTCGGTTTTCTTCGCTCGAGGTAGGTACGACTAGGTTATGTTTATATATATAGTACACATCTATATGCTCTAATATATTGAGTCAATACAGAATGTAAGAATAACTTATTCAAAGTTAGATTCTGAATTTTATAATAAAAAGTTGTCATTTTCTTGTATTTGAATGTGTATTTAATTGCCTTCTTAAATTGAAAGTTCGAATTTCTTGCCTTCCTGCTTTAGGAATATTCATGATTCTTTGCTTGAGAAAATTGATATTTTCATCACGTAATTCTTTGATAGTAATTCAATGTAGTCTACTCACAATCACTCTAGAATATAGATCGATTTTGGAATCAGATACCTTTTTTAAAAGTCTATTCCAATGCTTTAGAAGTTTGAATTTCTTGGCTTCGACTTCCTACTTCGAATATTCAAGATTCTTCACTTGATAGAATAATAATCAATGTAGATATTTATGATCAGGTGTATTTTTCAAATGTCTGTGAAACTTTGAATTTTTTTTGTATTATAAAGTATAAGTACTTTATACTATAATTACTTTATATAATTTACAGTCTGTATATATTATGAGGATTTTGTGTAACGTAAATGTTGATGTTTATACGTTTATGTGCAAAATGTATCATTTACAATGACTGAATTTAGTAAAGCGTCCAAGGAGAACGTTCGACGTCTTTTTACCATAAAAGCAAATAAAAATTTCCTTTTATGACTTTTGATCACCGTAATCTGATGGTCGTATCTTATCTTATAATTCTATCGTATCGAGTCATAAAAGTATTTACTATACATTTATAGAAATATTCGTAAATCTTGAATAATTTATCGTTCAATCTTACATGCAGATGAAACACTATTCGACTAATCCTTGCCAATAACTGTAGATATAATTAGGATATAAGTCACAGCTTTTTATTCGAAACATCCACAGAAATTGAACAGTTAGAAAGATAGAATATATGATTTGCACGGTGTGCACAATGTAACGTTATAACAGACTTGTCTCCTCACTAATGTCCTTCGCACAATGCTTTTGCTGTCTCATTCGTATATCTTCCAATTGTTCTGTAAGAATATATATATATCTTTAAAGTCGTGACTTTACAGATCGTACTCGTGAATTTTTAAAAAATAAGACAACGTTGAAACAATACCCTCTGTATAGTACTATCTACTCTGATCATTCTCATAATCAGAAAATAACATGTTTTTTCAAGTTTGAAAGATCTCAATTTTGAAACATGTCGAATTGTTAGAATATCGAGTAGATTTTTGTCAATTTTTTCGAATTAAAATTTTTAATTAGAAAATTTTTTAATAGATTCTATAATATAATATTATAAATATATTTAAAATCTCATTTTTTCCTTAATATACTATGCATCATTAATCTAATGCCTCTATACGTGTACGTTTATTAGAGGTTTGCCTATTAAAGAGATTTCACAGTGACATTGGCTTTGGCCATAATATCTCCCCATCATCTGAATGAATTAGTAACGCCGATTTATAGGGGTCGATCAGGATTAACCTCGATTGCTTCATGGTAAAATAATTTTTACCAATTATGCGTTTTTCATTTACAGAAAGGAATCATGATTTCTATTTATATTTCGATATTATGATTTATAACTGTATCCATTATACTTATTCTATTTTATATTGCTAATTCTATCTACAAGTACAAAAATAACATTGATAAGTATTTTCTTGACAATTATAAAATTCATATTCTATTTATTTCATTCATTTATTTTTTTTTTTGTATAATATTTATCTATATTTATTTTATCCGAAAAGAAAATTTTTAGAATGATTCATCATGTTCTAACTTAACCTCAATTTTATCTCGCGATATAATCAAACACCAATATCGATATTAAATTGAATTTACAATCGATCTATCTTTTAGGCGCCAATTTTCATCGAGAAAAAAAATCTTCAAACCTAACTTTTGCGATTTCTTTCCATCCATAGAACTTGGCTAGTTATAAGTGGCGCTTCGATCAGAGATTAACCTAGATGACAAAAATGGCGATCTTGTTTCGAATGGTGCGTTAGCCGCGATCGTGGTAATGCCAGTTAGGCGCCGATAAAATTCTCACGTTACGGTACAGTAAAACTACCGCAAGCCCGGTAACTTCTTCGCGAATGTGCAATGTGCACAAAAGTTTCGCGAATAGCATCTGCGTGCCAAACGAGTGTTCAACCGTACGATACCCGACCTTCTTCTCGCTCAATGGGAATGGCAATGAGCCGCATAGATTTTCTCAGAGCCTCGTAGAGAAGTATTCGTCCTTCTATGACGGAGGCTGGAAATAAGATGTCGATGATGTTATGAATCAGCCTTGCGATTGGATTGCAGTTATATTCATGATTATACGAATGTTTTTGTACGAAGTATAATATAATTTTATGAATCGATATAGTATAATTTTTAATTTTGTAAATTGATAAAGTTCGAACAAAATGGAAGATTATCTTATTTCAAATTGTGCTGAATATTAAGTAGAATGTTATTAATTATTTACATGGTGTATGATATATCATGATGTCTTCAAAGTTTTTTCGATGAGGCTCAGTGGAAATAAGATATTGAATCAATAATTTATGGTGAGTCAGCTTTATGATTGCTATTGTGCTAATTATTGAAACTATATTACAAATTGTTTTATACAAGGTTGATGTAATATAATAATACGATATTATATTTTGATGATTGATGATAATAGATGTGAATCAATTTTATAATTAGATTTATTGGAATAATGTTAATTATTGAGATTTCTTAAAGAATAACGAAGAATATGTAAAGGGTGTCAAATATAAATGAATATGTAATTTAATATAATGCTCGTTAATATGTGGAACGTTCTAATTAATAATCTTAAGTAAATCAGGGCATGAGATTGCGAGCAAAGTGATTCTTTATGTTTTTACTTTACTTTCGATATTCTTGCTTTACTTTATAAAATTTCCTTTTAAATTATCGGATTATTATTTATAAAAACTTCAATCTCAATTTTAATTTTGCATTAGATATTTTTATTTAAATTATATTATATGCTTTTTTCTCGATCAAAATTGTATTTTATTCAAATAAATATATTGAATTATTGTTTTTCCAGATAAAAAGTTTAAAACAATATATATATATATATATATATTAAATTATCTACATAATCAACTATCAACTAATCAACTACAATCGTTCAAGTGTTCAAAAATCATTTTATCGTTTAAAACTTTCAATCAGTCGTTGTTAAATTATCGAAATATCACTAATCACTAAAAAATTTAAACAAATAGATGATTTTCAAAAAAACATGATTTATACTGATTGAGTTTTCGAATCCTTCTTCGACTATAAATCTCAATTGAGTTATGTTCACAATTATCAAATACATATTTAATGTAACGCATAAACGCCCTAATCGACGATAATTGTCAAGGGATCGAAACCTGTTGGTATAACCAGTTTCAAGATAGTTATAGTCTCTAATAACTATAATAGTATACGAGTTAATGTAATGACGTTTTGCACATTATGAGCACGTGTGGCAAGTACCGCAATTGGGGCGGGGCACGTCGTGTGCGATGCGTGTTGTGCACTTGGTATCTAGGAATGCAAGAAACCGCACAAGGGATGCGCAAGAAGAGACTAATCTGGCTGTCGCGTGTCTTGCGGTTTATTCCGTCATCATCTCAATGGAAAGCTCTAAAGGAATTTCTCAAACTTGTTTTGCTCTGAATATGAAATTTTAATCCCTTAATAAATTGCTCGTAAAATTTCATATCAAATATGGAAATAATTAATATTTTTCTCGATATCTTGAAATATTTTCTGGGATAACTGATATATTATCTTTATCTTTAAAGAATAAAATAATTGAGATAAGGTTACTTTTTATTAGATAGATTTATATATAATTTAAAATATACTTTTTTTCTCCTTCAATTTTATAAAGTTTCCTCTTTATATAATTTAAATGTAAAACTTAAGTGAAAAATCTAAGAGTTCGTATTTCTAATTTTTATTTTTTAAATTATAGTTTTAAATGTTGCCGGAGGCAAAGCTCCTATGCAGTCGAGCACTTCGGAAGGTGGAATTCCACAGCGTGCGGTGGATGGCAGCAGTGGACAGATTTACACCCCTCAAACTTGCACCCTTACGAGACCAGAGCACAGACCCTGGTGGTACGTGAATCTGCTTGAACCCTACATGGTGCAATTGGTACGACTTGACTTTGGTAAACCGTGTTGCGGTAAGTAACATATGAGGAGCAGAATTTTATTCCAAAATTCTAACTCTTGTTTTATTAACATTTGATCTAATGAATGATTGTATATATTTAGCATCTTTATCAATCTCTTAATGAAAGAAATAAATCTCGATACACAAATTTTATTTTATTTAATTCTATTTTTTAATTTAAATTTTTTAATTTAAAATTATAATTTACAGATCCACAGAGATATAATAAGTATTTTTTTCGGATAAATAAACAAACGAATAGTTATGAATAGAGTTAACAAAATCTAACAATATCTAATAATACGATAATTAGAAAAAAAAATTCCAAATATCAAATCAAAGGCTAAGAAATGAATCACTTTGATGAATCGTCGGTGAAAACAGTCAGGAAGCGTAAACACAAAGTTTAATCCCTGTAACGCGATGGAACGCCACTTTCATTTCAATTCTCCTTCTGCTTTCTATCGATAAACAGCCAATTACGGGAGCAATAACGACGCTCTACGAGCGAAAATTTTTCGCATAATTCGGAAATCGTAGGCGATTGATGAAGAAGTTATCGATACTTTCACGCCATCCTGTAGGTTTTATTCTTAGAGCATCATCTTCGTGAAATTCGATGGATACTCGTGTACATTGAAAAATTGAAACATTATCGAATTAATTAAAATTTGAAATTTGAAATTTTCTAAGAGAAGTTTAAGTTAATCAAAAAGTTGAAGTGTCGTTGTAAAAATTGATTAGTAATAAATAGAGTTGGCTTTGAAAATCATAGACATAGTTACAATTTTGCCAAAGATACTTGTATATTTAATAATATTTATATAATAATTGCAAAAATTGTGATTCAACTTGGCAGTTCTTAATTAAAAAATTGAATTCTTCGAGTAGTATATTTATAGATATATATATATTTATACATATTTAATCAAATTGATATTGTAAATTGATATGCATGAAAAAGTAAATGGCATCGTTTTCTAACGATCGAGTGAAAAGATTTTCGCTATCGAACTGGAAAGTTTCTAGAAGTTTCCACGCGTGTCAATAATAAGGTAAAAGAAAAAAGAAAAGATCTATTTAAAAGACACGATGTTATTTTACGTATCGTTACCATTAATCGACATATATTTACAAGAAAGTATCGGTTAATTATTCAGAATATAACCTGAATATTAATTTAATAACATTTTAGCTTTATTGAACATCATACAAAAAGCATGAAAGTACGTGAGAATCCAATATACTATTCTATAAGGAAAACAGAAAAACATTGTGCCACTGAAAAATTAATTTCCATTTTATTATTTTATTTTATCTCGTCTATCAACTCCATTAATCCTCGTATTATAATCTTTAAAGATGTATCTTGGAAAAATATTAAAAAAACTGTTGCACAACTGGCATAAAATTTTACGAACAATAAAACTATCAAACTGCCAATAATGTTATTATGAAAACAAAGTTGCAATTTTCTTTTAAATCGTATAATATTTTATGTTACTCTTACTGAATTTATAATAGATATTTATTAACGAATCACTCGTAAATTTTCATTACTAATTTATTTTATTCCTTTTATTATCACAATTTCCGCAATTTAGTTAGAATAAATTTGAAGTTATGAGTTTAAGTAATGGAGATTCGTATTACCGATCAAACAAGGGAAAACTTTCACCGTTAAACGAAATGGCTGATAATGGCGTGCCGTTTACACGGAAATAAAGAGTGAGAGTAGTTTTGTTATTCTTGGAAGAAATTTACTACATTCTTCCTTAAAAAAAAAAAAAAAATAATAATAATAATTCTCAATTTTTCATGAAACAGTATTGCATCGCAAACGTTATATTGTATAATAATAATGCATTAGAGATGGTATATCGATGATTCGACGTAGTCTAGAAAATTCTTTGGAAACTTGCTTTCTTTTTGTTAATGTACTTTCATATTTTTTGTTTAATTGTTAGACAATTAATTAAAAAGACTATAAACTTTCAAAAAAAGATTCGAAATGATTATTTTCTCAGGAAAGTGCAAATACAAGTATAAGCATTTTTTTTTTAATTCTTTCTTACTCGAAGAAAGCCGATGATATTTAAATATTTAAATAGGAAGAATTCTTCTTTTTCGAGGAAATTTTAACTTAATTTAACTCATTTCAATTTTTTACAAATTCTATTTTTTTAAAAATTCAGAATTTAACATCTCTACTTTATCAATCAATTGTTTCTTAAGTTAATTATTAATATACGTTAAAAATTCCAAACAAATTCAGAATTAAATACACGTTTCTAACCCAATCATTAATCCATTTACATTGCAAACATGCAAATGGACTCGAGACTGTACTTATTACGAATACTTAAATTTTTTATTACGAATACTTAAATACTTAAATCTTTCCATTTTATTTATTTATTTATTTTTTTCCCTTCTCCCTATAATTCTAAGCCTATACTTTCGTTACATACAAAAATTGCGTGTTATCCAAATAAATAGCAGCCTTATTCCAACACTCGTTTCCTCTTTGGTCACGATTCACCTAACATCCGTACGTGACGATAATCTTCGTGTTTCGCCGATGAACAAGCGTAGTGTATCGTAATTAAATCGACTCGATATTTTACAAGGAGAGGCAACTTTCACGCGGCTAATACCGATAAGAGGCTGTTAGCGGAGCGTTTTAATTACGATCGAGATCGGTTATCGTTCACCAAACGCGAGCTCGCCATTTCCGGCAATACGAAAAGAAAATTCCAAGCATTTATGATTATAGCTCATGCGTACGTAAAATAAACAACAGAGCAACTCGATAGCTACGAATGGAAAAAGAAAAATAGGGAATTTTTATTCTCTAAGAATTCTATTTAGTTGTTACTAGAAATTAATTTTTAGAGTTGCATATCCTGAAAATTTTCGAAAGTGTGTACTTACTTTTCTACTCTTTTTTCTTTTTTGTTAAAAAATAAAATATACACGTTTATTAATTAAAATTATATTTATGATAGAAATGCAGAATCGAGAATTGATTTTTTAGATTTGCAAAGTTTGTTCAAAATCAAATTTTTATTTTTTAGAATTCAATTTCAAATTCACAATTAACTAATAGTAACAATTTATTTCTCTAGCCTCATTTATAACTTTGATTCAATCTATATTAATTAAAACTCATAATTAAACAAATATAACTCGATTATAAGATAGATTAAAAATCTCAAAAATTTCTTCAAACGACTTCGAACGATGTTGAATCATCACCACCATGCCACATCGTTAGAAACGCGTTTTCTAATATCACGGGATGACTCGTGACGTTTCTCGACAGGTTGGATACTTTTTTATATATACATATATATATAAACAAGAAATTGTCGCTGTTTCGAAGACGATTACACGGGGACAAAACGTGGAAAGCATGTAATTGGTGTTGGCCATCCATCTGGTCACACCTGGAGTACTTTCCAGGTCGGAAGATGTAGTCCTTGCTTAGGCACCTGTATTATTTCACATTATTTTATCCGTTCAAATGTTTTGCGATTTCAGAGTAGCAATTTGTGCGGCAAGTGAAAGCATGGATCGATTTCGATCTATGGATCCTGTGAAAAATGTGTGATACTTTATCTTAATACGGGAGAGTATCCCCCTCTTCGATGAATTGGCGTGTTCATTGTTGAATGAAAGACATATTAAGTTGTAACTTATGTCAATAATTTTAGAAGATATTCGATCCTCTTTAAATATTTTTATGATGGCATGAAAAATTCTATTCAATTTCTATTTAAAGAGCGAACTGCATCAATTTCCTTGTCTTTAATTTCATTCAAAACTCTAACTTGTATCAGTTAGAAAAAAAGATATTCAGAGTTTTGTATAAAATTTGGAGCAAAATTTTTTTCTATTATTATTTATTAACATTAAATTATTTACTAGTAATTGAATAACCATTTTATTATTTTTGCCTGAATCGAAATCAATAGCAATCTATACAAAAAAAAAATGCAATCAGTCGATTTTGATTGTTTCCAATATTAATCTCGTTATCGCATAGGTAAACGTTATCGAATTGAAATTTCTCACGCACGTTCTCTGATTACAGGCGACGATATACCAGGAACAATCGTGGTTCGTGTTGGAAACAATCGGCCGGACTTGGGAACGAATCCAATTTGCAATCGTTTCACCGGCCCTCTCGAAGAAGGCCAACCTCTTTTCCTACCCTGCAATCCTCCTATGCCAGGAGCTTTCGTTTCCGTGCATTTGGAGGCAAATACACCGACACCAATCCCAGTCCAACTCTCTTTGTGCGAGGCTTTCGTGTATACCGATCAGGTGCATACCACAGAATTTACTTGAAACGGGTAAAAAATGTTAGGTTGTGCCAAAATTTCTTTTCTTTATTTGGTTTGGCAATTTTATGAAATTTTATGAAATATCATTAAAGTAAGTACGAAAAAAAATAAGGAATCTTTTGGAACAATCTGATATCTCACACTTGCTTGAAAAGAGATCTCAAAATTAATGATTTTAAAGTACTTTGAATATAAAAATGTACAAGAACATCGAATCAAAATTGAGAGTTCAATTCAGTTTGAAAACTCATCAATATTCAATAAATTCTTCTTTTGTTGTATGTCACTTTTTTTTAGCAAGTATGTAATATTTCTCTTATTATTTGTATCATTGCGTTTTTAGAAATAGGAATTTTTAATAATAGATTAATAATAAGTAAGATTTTTGAAAAGTATGTTATTTTTTTCTAATTAATTATTTCTTTGCACAGGCGCTTCCTATTGAGAGATGTCCACAATTCAGAGATCAGCCACCAGGTTCAACAGCAACTTATAATGGAAAGTGTTATATATTTTATAATCGGCAACCAATGATATTTAGGGAGGCGTTATCGTTCTGTCGTGCACGAGGTGGAACTTTAGTGGATGAAAGCAATCCTGCGTTGCAAGGATTTATTTCATGGGAATTGTGGAGGAGGCATAGGTAGTCATTTAGAAAAATCACAATATAGAATTCTATGAAACAAATATAAATGATTAAATGAAAAATCTTTGAATATTTTTGCATTTTTCTTCACTTATTGCAACTCTAAATATTATCTTCTTACATAATTCAATCACTTAAAATTAATTCAAGTGACAAAATTTTATTCATATTTTATTATTTACAAATTATAATTAACGTAGAAAATAATTGAAAAAATTCTCAATATCTCTTTTAATAAAGATTTTTAAAAACTCTATATTTTATGTCCCTGTTAAGGAGCGACACCTCGAGTCAATACTGGATGGGTGCAGTGAGAGATCAGAAGGATCGCACGGTTTGGAGATGGACAGGAAGCGGCGAGGAGGTATCCGTTTCTTTCTGGAGCTTGCCTCAAGGAACCGAAGAGGACTGTGCTCGATACGATGGTAGCAGAGGCTGGCTTTGGTCTGATACTCCTTGCACGGCTCGATTAAATTTCATCTGTCAACACCGTGAGTACCTGGTATAAGTTTCAAACTAACGTCGCTTCCGTATTCCTTTCTCTCATTATTATCAAATTATACGATGACACGAATATCTTTTTCTGTCTGTGGATGCGCTAGATGATATAGAATGATGTAATGTGACAAGCTGAGAATCAATAATCACCGGATTTTCATGTGAAATCAAATTTTTATAAATCAATGATTATAAGATTATAAAGAAATGAATAAAAATTTGCTTTATTTCCTCAAATATCATAATTAATGGTATTATACTTTAGATATTTTTTATTCTTTTGCATGTGTTATCAATATTTTATAAATTCTATTGAGAATTTTATTTATTTGTCATGTATATAATTTTCAAACTCTAAACAAGAATTAACAAATAAATTTTTCTTGATTTTTTTAGGACAATAAAAATAACATTGTCTATTATTTTTCATTCTCTTTCAATTTAAAGTTTCAATTAGAAATATTTTTATATACTCATAAATTCCAAAAAACAGAAAAAAAATCATCAGTATAAGTTCTCCCAACTATAAACCACAGATTATGGTCCATCATAATTCCTTTTCTATCACTGAACATAAAAATAGCAAGCAATTTCAGCCAAGTAAAAAGAGGTAAGAAAAAATGAAATTCTTTGTTTGCTGTTAGAACCACGAGCATGTGGTCGACCAGAACAGCCGCCGAATTCCACGATGACGGTGACCACAACCGCAGATCGGAATTCCGGAAGTGCATACGAAGTTGGCGCGACCGTGGAATATACTTGTAACGCTGGTAGCCTTCTTATAGGACCGTCCAGTCGCACTTGTCTGGATACTGGCTTCTACAACGAGTTTCCACCTGTGTGCAAAAGTAAGAAGCATACTGTTCAACTATGGAGGAAGCCAGAGTAACTGCAAAAAAAAAAAAAATGTAAAACAAGTTTCTTTGTATTTTTAGATACTTGTTAATATTTGATTAGACATCAAATATAATATTTTACAAAAAAAAAATTAATAGAAACAAAAGACAAATTTATAACAAATACAAATAACGAGCAATAATTGTATTGTAAAATATTGTAAAATATTATTTCTTAATAAGAACAATAACTGTTACTAATAACTTTGTAAATAATTGTAAAGAGTTATTCCTTAAAATAGAAATATAAATACAAGAACAGTAGTATTCTAAAATATTATTTCTTAATGGTAAAATAATGTCAATGACTGAAGATTTCTAGTTATAAGTTCTTCAATAAACATTGCTTCTCTCTCATAGTTGGACAGTATAAGAATCAGAGAGAAATATAGAGACCAACTTGGTGAACCATATATGTATCGTTATATCGATGTTAAATTCAACATTCTACTCGTTTCAGGCATCGAGTGCGGTTACCCAGCAAACATAAAACACGGAGGCTACACACTTATCAACAATACCGTTAGTTATCTCAGTCAGGTGCTTTACTCCTGCGATGAAGGATACGAGATGACTGGTAAGAATTTATCGTGGCGCTAGCCATTATTTCTTGATTGTTTGATAAATGGATATCGTTTGTAAATAATACTCTGATACATGTGTTCGAAAATGCTTTATAAAGGAGCAGTTTGAGGAAATTGGTAAGCATGTCTTGTTTGGTAAATGATAGTAATGATAGTTTCAGTTTGTCTCTTCTTTTAGTATCTTGATTTTTATTATTTTTTGGAGCAATATATGAAATGATTTAAAATATGATAATGAATTTGTAAAGTAATTAATAATAGAAATTAAAATAAATGAAGATAAATTCTTATTAGAATTTTATTGTTTAAGCAATTTTTACTTAATTTAAATTTATGTAAAAATTTTTAAATAATTTCCATTAAAGGTCGTGCAAGATTGACTTGTGACATCGATGAGCGTTGGAATGGACCACCGCCGCGTTGTGAACCAATCCTGTGCGATCCTCCAACACCGGTGCCGCACAGTTACATCCAAATCGATGAAATCGATGAAACCGAAACAATGCCATCGAAATCGAACTTCAATCGAAGTCTTCTCGTAGGCAGTATTGTCACTTATACTTGTGAAAAAAATTATAGACTCACTGGGCACCGACAAATATTATGTTTACCCACTGGATTGTACGATCACATCGCACCCACCTGCATAGGTAACTGATTCATTCATTAATATAAATAACAAAATATAAAAATTTGTAAACTTTTGTCTCTTCCTACAAGCTCAAGAAATCCATCTCTTCATTCATCGTAAAACCAAAATTCCTTCATTCAAAGAAGAATTTCTACAATTCCTGAAATACTTACATTCTTGGACAATTGTCACACTATAAATCTAATCTCTTATAAACAGGATACAGGACATTTAAAAACATGACTTCTATTCTTTACAATAAAATATCGAAAGAAAATCAGAACAAATTTTATTACAGAGGAACCACGCACCACAGTGACCGCCCCACCCCGAATAACTGTACGAACAACGACTGCCAGAACTCGGCAACCATTCTTACCGCCACGAGTCCGACCCACAACAATCTCGACGACCACAACCACGACCACCACCTCTGTACCACCTCGAAGAGTGGCCAGCACCGCTGAATTACCCGCGACGGTTCGCGAAACCATCGCGAGGAAACCGAATGTCGGTCTTCAGAGGCCAGCACCTCCTCCTTCGCCACCTTTGAACGATGACAGCAGTGATCATCCTCAGGACAACGAGATTTCGGGTAGTGGGGTGGATAATGCACAGGTTGGGATTGGAACCGGTGTTCCAGAACCTTCTGGACCTTACAGGGTGGACAATGCCGACCACACAAGTAACACTCATCAAGCGAAATTAAATCTAGGCGCTGTGATTGCCTTGGGTGTCTTCGGCGGTTTTGTATTCCTAGCCGCTGTAATCACCACCGTTGTAATACTTATACGCAGGTAAAGGAAAATCATTAAAATAAATCCGTGATTCACGTGATTCTCTTTGTCTCTGTGATCAAAATTTTTAATTGCACCAAAAGTAACGCCTGTTGTAATATAACATTAGATTGTACTTTGTATATTTTATATTTTATGTTATTTTTGTTTGTGATATATTGTTTTTTTTTTTTTGTTTATTCGTTTAGTATTAACTGTAATATAACTTCCATGCTAACTTTCATAAGAATCAAAATAGAAAATTAATTTAGAATAGTGATTCTTTTATTTTTTAAAAGACTGAATTTTTTGATATACGTTAAATAATACAGAGTGTTCGATTACCAGAAATTTAAGGAATTCTTCAAATTAATGGACGATGACTAATTATTTTTTGAAATTTTGAACATTTGTAACTGAACACCCTGTATATTTTTGATTTGAAGATCTTTACATCATTAAAATTATATTTATAATCATCTGTGTCTGCAATTTTATTTTTAATTTTTTTCAATTTCTTAACAGGCATTATTTCTTGGGCAAACTATACATAACTATAGCTTTTCTATATATACAATACATGACTCTGTGTGTATACTGTATCGCTTACTCTATATTTGTTCAAACTTTATTCTTTCGTCTATCTTCTTGTCTTCTAATCTCTTCTAATTTAATCGCATATTTTTTCAAAATACTGTAATTTGTTGTAGTATAACAAAGGGTTGTTACGTATAATAATTTTTAAGTCCTCTTGATTTTTATTATTGTATTTTTTTTTCAATATTATCAATTGATAGTATTATAATGTAATTTCGCTGCAACTGTAAAAGCTTTTTCTACTTTAAGTGAAAAAATACAAAATTATTAGATAAAAGTATTTTTTAAGAAATTTCTATCTATATATCAAATAATAATCGTTATTATAAATTCAAACATTTTGAATATGATAAGAATTATAATGTCAAAAAATTTAAGAGCTGATTATTCAAGATAAAGAAGAATAAACGAAAAATCATTTCTTGAAGAATCATCCCTTAAACTTTTGGACAACTTTTTGCCAACTGAATTCTCTATTATACCCTATAATAATTATTATATCTATATATATAGGGTATTATATATTCGTGGATTCTAAAGACGAACATAAAAGTTTCTGTAAAATATTTATTGAAGTTTATTTATTAAGTTACAAACAATCGAATATAAATTGTTTATGTCATATTATATATATTTCTTTATATACTTCATCTTAACCTTAAAAATCAATCCTTAAAAAATTATCCCACGAATATATCTAAACTATATATCTAAACTTTCCAAACCAATGAAAAATTGATCAAAAAAAAAATCAAAGAATAGAAACTTAATCAAACCATCGTCAAAATAGAAATAAAATATAGTAAAAAAAAATTAAGAAATAAAAAAAAGAAAAGTTGATCAGAGGAAATAGACAACGATCAAGAATATAACAATTAACACTGAGCCCGTTTGCGTTGCGGTGGTTAGCGGCAGTGGCAGGGTCAGAGGAAGGCGCCGCAGGGGGCTTGGTGGGGTTGGTGCGTTGAGGGGTGGGGGTAGTGGTGGCCTTGGAAGGGGTGACGCCGGGATGCCCTCGCGTTGGTACACACTACTGGCGCTGCCCTTCCCCGACCAGCACCTGGGGCGCCGCGATTTGACGGCACGCCGCGGCACCGATCATCCTTATTCCTTTGGTCTCTCGGCGGCCCATCGCGCTGGATACTTTTCTAATCCATCCCTCTAGTTTCTTTTTTTTTCTTTTTTTTCTCTTTCTCTCTTTGTTTACCTCTTGTGTATAGATATGCATATACATATATATATATAGTCCACCATTATTGCCCTCACCCTCCACGCAACCACCGCCCACCACTACATCAACCATCACCACGTACCACTACAACCGCCATGCGCCACCCTCGCGAGTGATTACTAGTCAAGGTAAACGAGCAATGTTTGTAATGAGCACAAATATTTATATAGCGATAGCTCGTTCACCAAGTCTCACTCTTGAGTGAGTACTTCAATGCTTCACTTCCGGGTGCACGTGATGCAGCGTTTGTGCACTTCCTCACCGAGGTCCCTGTGGTTGGTTTGTACGTACCACATTCGTAGCACAGTAGTTTTGAATAGGGCACATGAAGAAGAATTGTCATAGTTATTTTTATTTGTAATTGTTTATAACTTGGGACCTGTTATAATTAAACATTAACAGATCACATTATTAGTTATAATATAATTAGAAATGAATAATATAAAAGAAATAATAAAATTGAAAAGCAAAATTGAAAAGTAAAATTATAATAATGTAGATTAAATTTAAACGTATGATTTGATATTTTTATAGAATAGTTTAGTTACTTAAAATAATAGTTACTAAAATTATGGGATCAATCAAGGGATTAAGTATTATAAGTATAAGAGATAATATAAATATTATTACGTATCTATATTTTATATCTAAATCTTTCTTGCTCCTTCTATTTTCAAACTGGTGATGGTGTTACAATTTATTTGCTTCAATTACACTTGGCTAGAATATTGTCCAAACACATATATACATTTTACAAAGATAATATAAAAAATTTGAAAGTCATATCAATAATGCATTTACACTGCTTAAAGAAAAAAAAAAAGAAAAAAATAAAAAAAAACAGAATTCTTATTTTTAATATAAATTAATAAACAATTGTTAATGTATTTACACAGAAATCGTGGTAGAAGCAGCAAGCATTATCGGCATCGTGCATCTCCTGATTGCAACACTGTGGCCAGCTTTGGAAGTAGTTCCTCCGAAAGTCGAGGAGGTTTGAATCGATACTACCGTCAAGCTTGGGAGAATCTGCATGAGACGGCTGGTCATAAGACCAATCATCCTCCTCTTCGTCGTAAGGAGACCCTGGATGAACCAGGATATCGAGAAAATTACCGTGGTAACAACACCGAGAGAGATGGTTCGGAATTAGTTGTGAGCGATGTAGCCACATATCCCACCAGTAAGCACGCCAGCATTTCCGACAAGAAACGCCATCATCATCATCATCATCATCACCACGGTAACTCTACGCCTGAGTGGAGGCAATCCCAGTCCCATCACAGATATTGAGTACCGGATCTGTTATCTAAGATCCTACATTTTTTTCTTGAGATTTTCAGTGAATCGATAACTGTGACGAGTTGCTGCGATTGGATCATGAGTAAGCGATTTTTTAATATTTTATGAATGGTAATACAATGAGGAATAATGATGGTTTTATGTTGAGAAATAAGTGGAGTATGCAGTGTTATAAAATTTTTATCAATGTGATTTTTAAATTTAAATAAGTGTGTAATACTTTTGTTTGAATTTTAATTTTTATTTTAATTTTAATTTCTGGATAGTTGCATGTACAAATTATTAAATCGAAAATTCTTTTAGATGTTTTTTTTTTAATTTTTAAATAATTTTTAAATATTTTCTAGTTTACAAACTTAAAGTTTGTAATTAAAAAAACTTTTTTTTTTATATAAAATTAACATTTACCTCATTATACTATCATTTATGAAATTGTAATTCTAATTTGTAACTCCAAATAGAATTTAAAGGAACGTGGTGAGTCAGACGTTGTGTAGGAAAATTTTAAAACGTGATTAATAGATAAAAATGTTTATCGTTCTATTATACAGTAAATCATTTACAAATTGTTACGTAATGTAAATATCGTACTACAATAGCGTAAGTTAATGATACAAGTTGTGAATAAGAAGGATCATAAGTTGATCAAAGGATATGCCAAAAAAATGAGAATAAAATATATATATATATAAATAAATATATATATATAATTACTGATTAAACAAATTCTAATATAAATTATTGTATGAATGTTTAATTACAATATTAAAAATGGTATTAATTTACAAAAATCATACTCGATAAGATCAATATCTGTTATGGATACTTTGGCCTCGCCTTAAAAAGATTAAACAAATTTCTCATAATAAACCGACATTTTAAAGATGATGTCGTTAAGGAAAGGCCGACGTTATCCATTTCAGAATCAAAATTTATTTAGATACGGTGCTCGTTCTAAGGCAAGCTACGTGTAAAACGTTATGTAAAATCTGTTCTATATATATTTTAATTAATTATTTATATTTAGTATTATTTTAATAAGTTGAACATTTTTTTCTCATATTCGTCTGGAATAAAACATACATAATTAATAAATAATATGTATTTATTTGTTGACTGATATAAGATATATTCATAATAAGTTGTACATGTATTTATTTAATATATCGATAATCACAAGAAATTGTAATAGTGCCATTATGGGCAAATTTGTTTAATTGTAACTATACATACATTCTTGTGGTTTAATATAAAGGACATACAAAATAGTAAACATTATATCACGAATAATTTGTTATATACGTAAATAATTATTTTTAGTTTTAATAAATGCACCATTTATTTGAATTAAAAATATTTATATAGCATGATTGCTTTACAGAAGTTTATAAAGAATTCAAATTGTTTAAAAAGTTACTTAAATAAACTTAATTCTTGTAATCATTATTGTTTCATTAAAAAAAAATAATAGGAAATCTAATTGTTATTATTATATAAATATGTGTATCACATAAAACAAAAAAATATATCACATTTAATTACGCAACCATTGACTGATGAGATTTTCGATTTTTACTCTGGCAGTTTTTAATTGAGGTGGATCATCTTTGGAAGATGGATACATGTTAGCACAGTGAGCAGTACCTGTAAGTCATAAGTCAAGTTTTAATTAATTTTGAACATTGAATAGAAATTAGAAAATAAAAAATACATATTAATGTTTATGCACCATTGATATAAATAACAGGCATTTGTGGATTCGATGATTTCGTAAGTCCCAAAATATGCCAAGGATCAATTGATCCATGTACAAATACTACATTTGTAACTTTTAAATTTAATGCTCCATATAAAATATTTGTTCTATTTATTGCCGAGTTCAGTAAATGAATATTGTATCTATGGAAGTATAAAAATGTTTTAATTCTATGTAACTTTAATTCTATATAATTCTATATAATGATAATTAAAAATGTATTTATCTCTCAAACCTTGGACCAAACACATCAATACATTGTTGCACAAAGAAATCTATTGGAAATGTTTCACTAAATAATTTTGGACGTGCTGTAGAAGTTTGAAAGAATCCAAACTCTGTACACGTTTGATACATCCATTGTCGTCCTAAAAAGTACATAAAAAGTTATTATATTTATAAAATATAATAACTAAAAACATAAAATCACTTTTTAAATCACTTTTAAAAAATAATACTTTTAAAAAAATATTGCATTACCTCCTTCTGCTTCTTCAGAAGCCCAAGTTACATTTCGAAGTTTATGAATCATTTTACTGTATATATAATCCAAACATTTCTCTTTTGATGCATTCAATATTTTAGTGCTTAAAATTGCAAGTCTATCTATGGCAATACCTAAACTATCATTCGTTAAAATATCACAAGCGCTTTCGATAGTCAAATTAGCCATTGCAGAATTATTACGATTATCTTTATTATATTGTACAATACCAGCAAAATTACTCGCTATTGTTTCATACAAATTAGAAATATCACTACGTTTAGTGTATCCAGAATCAATAGGATCACATAAACTGCAAGAAAAAATAATTTTTCAATAATAACATATATATTCATGTTAGTAAATAAAAAATTCAATTTCTACTTACACAAATTTTTTAGCTATTCCTTGTTGACCGATTGGATGACGTAACATTATGTGAAATTGTTTATTTGCTTCTACTATTGTATTCACACATGCTTCAGAATATTGTTTGAGAGCATTTTCAACAACAATATAATATTCTATAATAAAAGTTATTAATATAAATACGTATAATATAATTTAATATTTTATTTTACATATAATATAATTTATAGTTATTAATATAAAATACGTTTTATAATAAATATTTTGTATGCTTACCCTGAAAGTCAATCTCTGCTAATAAAGGGCCACTTGCAGAAACAGCTCCATGTAATAAATGAGGATATTTAGAACGCAACCATGCAGCTAATGATCCAGCATATGATCCTCCAAATGCAATCCATTTAGTATTATTTGGTAATTTATAATCAATATTCATAATTTCTATAAAGTAAGCTAAATCTGCAAGTGCTTGTTGTGAGGAAAGATATTTTAAATTTTTCACACTAAGATCTCTGTAAATAACAAAAATATTGTATTATAATTTAAAATGTGTTTATAATTTTAAATTGTAAACAATATTACATACGAAGTAGGATGACTTTTTCCATAAAAACGATGTTCTACTTGAAAACATAATGCTCCAAATTGCTTAGCATATTCAATCCATTGGCCTTTTACCATCCATTTAGCAGTTGCTGTACCTTCACCACTTATCATTAAGAATACAGGTCCTCCTTTTTTGTAATATTCTGCATTTATAAAATATCTCTAGAAAAGTAATTAAAAAATTTTAAATATAAATATAACATAAAGTATATATAATTTATTTGAATTACAAATTCAAGAATTTTGAATATGAATATATATATATATACATATATTTTTATATTACCTGTTGCCAAACACGTGCATCAGTTGGATCAAAGTGATCTAAAAACTGTGTAAACCATTGCTCGTTTGGAAGTTTATAATTTTCAGATAAAATTGGAGCACCTAGATTACCATATTTACTTCGACCTCTCATAAATATTTTCCATGATATACTATTATTTATTAAGCTAATAAAGAACAATAGATATAGAAACTGATACATTCTATATCAAATCTGGTTTAATTATATGGTAAATTCTGAAAAAATAAAAATTAGATATTTATATTATGTAAAAAAATAATTGTAAATATTATTTTATTGATTTTATGTTTTAATAGAGTCAAAAATAATAAAAAATATTATCTTATATATTAAAAAAGTAATATTTTTATTAGACTGTAGATGAAACATACATAAACAAAGAGAGTAAATAATAAAAGAAGAACAGAAATAGAATACAAATATTGAAATCAGTAGTGTCATCTAGAGTGCCATAAATAAAATACAAAAAGAAAAAACAAAAAATAATGAAAAAAGGATAAGAATTAAAGATTAACGCAATCTCTTGAAATATCTTCCAAAAATATCTTTCAGAAGTATTTAAAAGATGACGCTGATCCTCAATTCTTATTTTATCTTATTTTGCTTTTGAAGAAATATCTTTGGAATTTAAAAAGATGGCATTAATTGTTAATTTTGACTTTATCTTTCTACTTTTTCTATTATTTTTTGTTCTTTACTTGCATGTTTCATTTGTTGCATTGATTTCAATATTTTTATTCTATTTCTATCCTTCTTCCATTATTTGCTTTTTTTGTCCATATGCGTGTTTCATCTATCATCTAAATAAAAATATTATTTTTTTTTTGTCTATGTTATAATTTATCATTTTGTAAATAAGTAAATAATTTAATTCATATTAAATATTCTTTTTTATAGTACCATCTCTAAAATAATTTTTGACGCAGTATAAATTATATTTTATTATAGGTTATAGATAAAAACTGTTTTTTAAACATAATCTATATTTTTATAAAAAATTAATAGGAGTAAAATATTAGATAATATTATTTCTTTATATAATATAAAAAAATAGAATTATTATTTGAATTAGAACGCAAATTTTTTCATATTTATTATATTCAAGTATTAAAATTTTTTAGAATAATCTTAAACTAATTTTTTAATATTTACATTAATTATTTTATTAAATATTAATTATTTTTATAATATTTTATAATATTTTATGTATTATTTGTATTGGTTTAAAATATTAAATATAGCTTACAATGTTTTAAATTAATCACGTGATGTATATATATATATTTTGTATGAAATAATGTTCAATAAAATAATCTTAAAATGTTATTAAATATCTTAAAAATTAAATTATTTATTAGTGCATATGAATTAAGAAAATATTAGAAATAATATTAATAAAAAATCATTATCGAATGTTGATAAAATAAAAATAAATGCTTATGCTATCTGACAATGTTTTATAACTATATTTTTTAATTTACTTGATTTTTTAAAAAAAAGTTATAATTTAGAATTGTTTTCATACAAAAACAAAAAAACAAAAATATGTAAGTATATTTTTTTTATATTCATATATATATATATATATAAGTACATAAAATTATCGTTCATAATAAAATCTAAAATCAATAAAATGTGATATATAACAACAGAATTTAAAATTAAAATCGAATCTTAGGTAAAAAATATAAAACATTAAAAATTATAACAAGATTAACAAGATTATCGCTTATAATACTTACATACGTAAGTATTTTTATCTATCTCAAATAAATTAGTATAATGTGCAGTTTAAAGTTACTTAATTGCAAAAATTTTCTACCGAATTCTTATTAAGAATTATTATTATTAAAAAATAAATAATATCTTTGCGAAAAATATAATTGACTAATAAAAGAATTTATTGTACTTACAGAATGTACTTTATATTTACGAAGAAATAATGATATTGCGATCAATGTAAAATTTGACAATTAAACGTAAAGAATAAAAATAAATACGTTTATCTTCAAGTAATAATAATTTATCGCGAAGTAAACGAATTGAAAAAATATTGACTTAGTGTTGCCGACAAAGATTTTAGAAACATTATATGTATTGCGTATAACCTCTTTTGTTGTTTAATTCATTGAAGGTAAGTATGAAATCAAACATTTAATTTATTATATTTTTTTTTTATTATATTTTTTTTTACTATAATTACATTTCTGTTTATTTTATTATTTTATTTCTTTGATATTCATATTCTTTGTAAATTTATATATGAAGTATATATTTTTTTATATAAAAATTTTGAAATTTATATAAAAATAATTTTTCTAATTAATATATAGATATTTTTTGTTTATTTTACTTTTCATTATTTTATATATATTTCATTTATATATTTAATCATGTTATATAATTTTTTGATTTTTTTTTTAATTATATTATATATTAATATAATATATTAATTTAATTATATTATATATTAAATAATTTAAATGAATTTATTTATTACAGATTGTTACATTAATTGAAATAAGATGAAGTTTGCAGAACATCTATCTGCTCATATTACGCCTGAATGGCGTAAACAATATATTAGTTATGAGGTAAAATAAATTAATATAAAAAATTAAGATGTCAATATTTTATTTCAAATTTATTATTATAAAAATAGAAACAAAAAAGAAATATAATCTTATTAAAACTATTAATTAATATGATTAATATCCTTTTTGGATCAATAGGAAATGAAGGCTATGCTCTATACTGCAGTAGAAGAAGCACCATCAGCTGAAAGTGTTGAACCAGAAGTTATATCTCGACATTTTGCTTCTTTTGATGAAGTATTTTTTACATTTTGTGATCGTGAATTAAAGAAAATCAATACATTTTATTCTGGTAAGAGAGTTTTGTTAAAATTAAACATATATGAATTATATATGAATTAAATCAAATTAATAAAAATTTATTAATTATATTTATTAACAACAAAATATTCTATATTTAATATTTATTTTTTATATATATTTTTTTATATATTTTATATGTATAGAAAAGTTGGCAGAAGCTACACGTAAATATGCAGCTCTTCAAAATGAGTTGAAAACAGCATTAGAATTACAGCAAGGTGGAGGAAAAAATAAGGGGAAAGTGATTGCTAAACCTCATTTACCAACAAGAAAGTTGAGAGAATTGAAACTTGCATTCTCAGAATTTTACTTATCTCTTATACTTCTTCAAAATTATCAAAATCTTAATTACACTGGTTTTCGAAAGATTCTTAAAAAACATGACAAGGTATATCGGAAGAGAGATTCTGTTAGTTATCATTGCATTAATTCATACTTAATTTTTTTTGTATTTCTCTAGGTTTACAGGTTACTAGGTTTTCATTTAAACAATAATGAAAATAAGGAAAGAACTAATACTTATTTTAAAGTCCCTTATCCTATTAAACACAAGTAAAAACTCAGCACACCTCATACATTGTAGCAACTTGTGTTTTTTATATATACAAGATGTAATATTGTTTTTATTTCTATTTTCAGTTATTGTCTGTAGATAGTGGATCAAAATGGAGGGTCGAATGTGTAGAAACTTCACATTTCTATACATCAAAAGATATAGACAAACTCATACAAGATACAGAAACTACAGTAACAAATGACTTAGAAGGTGGAGATAGACAACGTGCTATGAAACGTTTACGCGTTCCACCTTTAGGAGAACATCAAAGTCCATGGACTACTTTTAAGGTTGGATTATTCTCTGGTAGTTTCATTGTCCTATTCGTAACAGTTGTACTTTCAGGTAATAACAAATATTATATAAATAATTATATAAATTATATAAATTAAATTATATAAATAATTAATTATAATTGTATTTATTTTCTTTATTTTATTTTTAGCTATATTTCACGATGGCGGAGAAAACTTAAAAATTGCATTTAGATTATATCGTGGACCTCTACTTATTATACAATTTTTATTTCTTATTGGTGTAAATGTTTATGGATGGCGATCGTCTGGTGTGAACCATGTATTGATATTTGAATTAGATCCACGAAATCATTTATCTGAACAACATCTTATGGAATTAGCTGCAGTTCTTGGAGTTATATGGACTCTTAGTTTATTAAGCTTTTTGTACAGTGCTAGCTTAAGCATTCCACCATACGTAAATCCGTTAGTTTTAGTTTGTATCATGTTAGCATTTTTATTAAATCCGTTAAAAATGTTTCGCCATGAAGCACGATTTTGGCTATTAAAAATAATCGTAAGTTATATTAATATAATATAGTGTTAAAAATTGCAATTAATAAAAATTCAAATTTTATTTTATTTTTATTTTTAGGGAAGAGTTTTAATATCGCCATTCGCATATGTAAATTTCGCTGATTTTTGGTTGGCGGATCAATTAAACAGTATGGCCACAGCATTATTAGATTTCCATTTTTTAGCGTGTTTTTATATTACCAATGGAAATTGGTTAGAAGCAGGAGATTCCACGCAATGTATGTCTGGATCTTTAATTGTTAGACCTATTGTTAATTGTCTACCTGCATGGTTTCGTTTTGCACAATGTATTCGACGATATCGTGATTCCAAAGAAGCATTTCCACATTTAGCTAATGCTGGCAAATATTCAACTACATTCCTTGTTGTAATATGTAATACTATGTGTGCTTATCGTGCTGGTAAGGGCAATTTTTTTATATTATTAATTATATTATAACAAAAAGATAAAAAATAATAATTTTAGTGGAATATCAAACTCGTTGGGAAAATCCATGGTTGTGGCTTTGGATTATTAGTTGCATTGTCAATTCAATTTATTCAGTAACTTGGGATTTGAAAATGGATTGGGGTTTGTTAGACAGCAATGCTGGTGAAAATAAATTTTTACGCGAAGAAGTTGTATATTCAGCAGCTGTATGTAAATGAAGTTATTGTCTAATTTTCCTTCGTTATTAAAACATTTATCGTATATGATATTTCTTCTAGGGATTCTATTATTTTGCTATAATTGAAGATTTTATATTGAGATTTGCATGGATTGCGAGTTTTGTTCTTATTGAATGTGAATATGTATCCAGTGATTTAATGACATCTATAGTAGCACCTCTAGAAGTTTTTAGGTAAGAAGTTTTTAGCTATATTTTATCAAATATTTAATTATTTCATTATATAAGTAATTTTCATTAAATATTTGTATTATCAATTGATTTATAAAAATATATTTTTATTTTAAGACGGTTCGTTTGGAATTTCTTTCGATTGGAAAACGAACATTTAAATAATTGTGGTAAATTTCGCGCTGTTCGTGATATATCGATAGCACCGATAGAAAGTTCTGATCAGACACAAATTTTGCGCATGATGGATGAAGAAAATGGTGTACTTAATAGAGGTAAACGCAAAGTTGGTGGTAAAAGACAAGCTAATATCAAAGAAGATAAACGAACATTACTCAAAGAAGAAACGATTGATATAGATATATCAAATGCTAGTTGAAATTAATTCAATTTTTTTATTCATTGGAAGTTTAAAAAAATATTGTACTAAATTCGTTGCAGTTTTTATAAGAATTTAATTAGAACAAATGCAAGTCGAACTTTATGAAAGATTAATATTTTTTTTATTTATCAAAATTGAAGATCGTAAGGCTAAACTAAATAAGTGCCTTATATATAATATGTTTAAAATATTTCTTTATTCTTTATATTAAGCAAATTTAATAATTTAATGTTATGATACCATATGATATCATATGTCTTCCATAAAACTATTTTGGCACTTACTATATAATTTATTGCTAATAAATTGATTTAAAAAATGAAAATTAATGAAAATATTTAATTAATATTTAGAATAAATAATATATTCAAAAAAAGCAAATTATTTTATTAGCAATATATATGTTAATAATATTTATTATATAGTCTTCAATTTTGATTAATAAATGTAAAATTCTATACTTATTTAGAAAATGTATAAAGTGTATGATAGAAATTTATAGTTGTACATAATAGTGAATTATATGTAGAAACAGGGTTGTTTCTTCAATATGTACATGTTCATGTTGATGCAACAAATAATAGTCTATTTACAAATTAGTATTATAATTTTAAACAAATAAAAATCGCTCATTATTTGATATTTGATATGATATGATAATATCCATAATTTTTAAATAGAAAAAAATAATATGTGAATTAATAATCAGCAGTAAATATATAGTGCACAACTTATAAAGTAATTATATTTGAATTAATTTCATTTAATACTTACTAAATTATAATATCTTTAATATTAATAAGTATTATTTTTAATTATCTATCTTTGTGATAAAATATTGATTTATTTTTATGCTACGTAATACAAGAGCTTATAAAAGAGCTATATAGATAAATGCAAAAAAAAAAAAAAATGAATTTGATAAATGGGAATTTTATTTAAGCAAAATAAAAGATAATAAATAGATATTCAATATTAAGTATTAAGATATTAAGTACTTAAGATTGTATACCATGGCATTTTTATAAAAATATTTACACTCTCAATTTATATTCCAGAAAGTTCAAAATATATCCATATATTTATCAAAATTACTTTTAAAATAAATATCGATAAAAATAATAAAAATCATAACTTTAATATAAATTCTTAATATTAATAATTAATATTAATAACGATATTAATGAATTATCATTTATTATTTGATAAAAAATAAAAATTATATTCAAAAAATTATCTATATAAAGAAATAAAGAATGCCGATAATCTTATTTGTTCATTTAAAAAACTTAATATTTTATATTGCTTTAATCTCGTTCATATATTAAGTATTCCAATGATTGTGATGCTTTTATGTATGTATTTTTATATATTTTGTTATAGAAATAGTAATGAAAGCGAAATGAATAATAATAATAAAGAAAACTTACTCTTATTAAAAAAATAGAGATATTTTTATATTTCATATACAAGATATATACTAGTTATATATCTTTTTTGAAAAACGCGCAATATATGCCATATGTGATTACAAGTAATCTTAAGTAACTTGTGAATTTAATTGTAAACAATACTAGTATTTAAAATATTTACATTAAAAAAATAGTGAACAAATATTTAAAAAAAATATATTGTATTTTTTATTTTACTATTTGGGAATAATAATTATACTCGATAATGTGTTTTATTTTTTAAATTTATTTTTTCATAACAGTACATGATATATATTATATATACATGATAAAGTTCGCATTGAATTAACTTCGAGTATTAACATATAATTGTACAATAAAGTGGCGATATTAAATCAGCATCACTTATAACATTTCATAAACTAAATTATAAAAAAAGACAATAATTACAAATGATTTTATGCATTAAATACCTATTTTAATATCAGGTATCTAGAAGTTTGTTATTAATGTAATAGAATCTTATTCCAAAAACTATTTTAAATATTTTAATGTATTTTATCTTAATTCTTTGAAATTCTATATTGAAATTGGTTTAAGATATTTTTATATTAATTTTTATATTAATTTTTATATTAATTTTTAAATACGATAAAATTTTTTAAAAACTAATTTCAATATTTGTATAGATTGTTTTAATTTATATATGTATTTATTAATAAAATAAAATGTATTATTTCTTATAAAAAAACTTCAATAACTTAAGAAAAAAATAAAAAATTAAGTAAAATATTTTTTTGCATATTTTACAAATCTAGCAAATTAAAACTTGTAAAATATTTTTAAAAATTTATTTATTCTTGTAATCATATAAGTATATATTAAAAAAATAAGTAAACAACTTTGGCAGTATAAAACTTTAAAAATTAGTTTTTTAATTATTAGATAAAATATAAAATATTAACAATTCTTATGTTTATTTTCCAATGATTCTTTTAAAAATTCTTATATATTAAAAATAAATTTATATTTTTATATATAATATTTTGAAATATTATAATTTACCTTTGGAATTATTGTATAACAAATATTCAAAATTATATATTGTTATTCTTTCAAAGCTGGATTTTTTCTCCTTAAAATACATATCATTTTTTAATGAATAATATACAACAATATGAATAACAATTGGTATAAAATAGCATAAGAAATAAATAAATTTATTAATTTTTAAAATCTCATTAAATATAATCATTTTTATACAATTAAAAATACAGCATATGTATCTATTTTTTATTTCAAGAATTTCATTACAATTTCCAATTATGAAAGGTGAATAATTAATATCTACAATAGCAATTAAAATTGTAATGTGAATACTAGTAATGATGAAATAAATTGATACAACGAAATTATAGAAATAAAGCCTCGAGTGAAGTGCTTAAATTGTTTCATATATATATGTATATATTCAAATAATACAAAACTTTTCTTGTAATGCTAAATTATATACATTTACATGTGTAAATGTATAAGGATTTTTTTTGCATTGGTTATAAAAATAACTCGAAATAATTTGAAAACATCACATTTTTAAGAAGTTTTCGCGGTACCGATTTCACTGCCATGACTACTGGAGGCTTTAGATTTCCTTTCTGGGTCCATGGCAATTGAAATGAACTCTTCTGAGATTTTTTTATCCAATCCTGTATATGTTTGAGCTAGATCTACTTGATCTTCTCCTATAGAAGACATTCTTTTCGGGGATTCCGATTTTCTTTCAGTTTGCCTCTTTCTTTCCATAGTATCTTCAGTTATGTGGCGTTTTTGTTTTGATCGAATCTTTTAACAATTGTAAAAACTTTGCATTATCATTTTTTTTTATTTGTAATACATATTTTATATTTGTAATTATATATATAATTAATATAATATTTATATTATATTAATTTAGATTTTATTACGAAATAATTAGAATCGATATGGAATATAATAATGATTATTTAAAAGATGGATTGAGAATGAATGATAAGGAATAATATTATAGTAAAAATACGTACAATTTGTGATGGAGCACGAGCAGCGTATGGCATATGCGGTAACATAGGAACGGCACCATAAGCTGGACTAGCTATTGGCAAAGGCCCGGTAGGCATAAATCCTCCAGGAAATTTTGCAGGTGCCCCAGAGATTGCATATGGTGACTATAACAAAACAAAATTTATCATGATTATTACTGTTACTATTATTATTTTATTTTTTTAATTTTTTGTATAAGATTTTTTTATTCATCAAATTTATTATATTTTTTAATTATATTTTTTAATTACTAATATTTTATTTTATATATATTAATTTATTATCTTTTTACTTGAACTATTTAAATATTAATCAGAACATCTATATTTATCAAATAAAATTTATGAATTAAAACAGCCATAAAATATATTCACTCAATTCATTCTAAATTTTCAATTCATCATTCTATAAGAAATCAATTTTTCTTTAATTGATCTCTTTAATTATTGAATAAAACAACATTCATACATCATTAAATAAAATCTAGCAATCAAAGTAACATAAAATACATTTACTGTATCTATTTTAAATCTTTTATCAATTTCTCTGTAATTAACTATATATAACTTAACTATTCTAATAATCAAAATAACATGAAATATATTCATTATCTTCATGATTTATTTTAAATCATTCTTTATTAATATTTCATGATTAAACAACCTTTTCTATTCAACTATCCAATTATCAAACAAACAATCTTATATCTTCTCAAGAAACAAAATTCAACAGCCAGAGAACAAACATACCATGCATTCCTTGCAGAAACCAATCACAACCATCCACTACAAGAATTTCTCAGGCATTCTGACCGCAAACACGTACTATGCCTCAAGCATCCTTCGCTCAAAGAGGAATCCGAAAAGCTATGAGAGAAGAAGTTGGTTGGCTTTATCCTCCTGACACAGAAATGCCTGCAACGAGCTCGTGCATCACCGAAATGTAGGCACAAAGATCGCCTGAAGCTAAGACTCGACGTTGAGTTTCTCTCAACGTTCGTCGTCTAAACTTTCTAGCTCATGTGTCACTGACCTATCCCTTCCAGTACGTCGAGCCGTAGTAGTCGAGAACGAAGGGTCGTGGGATAAGATCAGGCCTCACCTGGATCATCGGATGTATCGGTAACATCGGCTGCACTACGTAAATCGGTTGATTCTTCGGTACATGATTCTGCGCTGTGACCCACTGATGGACCATGTTGCGAGTCTTCAATCGACCGTCGCTTGCAATTTCGTCGACATTGTTTGCTCGAAGGCATCCGCATAGTTTAGGGGTTAAGGTTAAGCAAATGTAACCAGAAACTAATAATTCGGCCACACTAGCTACCAGTAATCCAATGCTAGCCAATATACCTGCCCAGGTACCCTCTACTTCTGCTGCGTTTCCATCTTCATTCTTTAACAATTGAGGTTATTTTATTTTTTTTATTTATTTTAATTATTCATAACAAAGAAATTTAATTTTTTGTTTCAAAATATTTTTAATTTTAAAAAATTTGATAATTTGAAATTTGCTACGAGAATAAAAGTTTTAATTCTAATTAATATAATATAACATATTATATATATATTGTAAATATTAATTATACAATTAATATTTACAATTGATATTTTGTAATGAATAATACATAAATGAACAAATATTTAATTTGTTCATTTATAATATATATTATTATATAAAACAAAGAGTTTTCGGTGAGAAAGTTTCACTTTTTCCGGAAATAGGATAAAGATAAGAAATAATACATAACATTTATTTATTTAGAAAGTTTTGTTATGAATTTCCAAATATTGTTGAATACTTATAAGATATATACTAATAAAATCATTACAGATCTCAACATTAAAGATCTCAATTAAAGATTGAAATATATAATTTAAATAATATTTGAATAATATATGGAAATATTTATCTTGCAGCTTCTAACATTTGATACTCTCTTGTGCTATTATTTTCATCTTCTATTGTTCTTTAACCTATTCATATTTCAACTATCAAGTATATTATAAATAATAAGATTGACAACTATTTAAATTTATTTTTATAAATGACATTTGATGATTTTCATAAAAATTCTGATAGAAAAAATATATATTAATATTGATAAAAAAATAAATAAAATAAAAATAATTAAAAAATATATATTGTTGCTAAAAAATAATATATTTCAAATTATTTTAAATTAATACTATTTTAAAAATCGAATATAAATATAGATACAAGATATTTCTACTTTAGAAGACTTTCTCCTACCAAACAGTTGGACGAAGTATATCCGTCAAAGTCTATTTACTTTGACCTAAGAAAAGTAACATTATTACTTTTACTTGTATAACTTCATATTATAGGATATTTAAACTATTTATTTTTATATTTTATATATTAATATTATAATTTTTAATTATTGCTTAAATAATTTAATATATTTTTCTATATTTTATCTTGAAAACTTTTTTTTTGTTTTTGTTTTAAAAAATTTAGCGAAATAATTTTCTCTTATTAAAAAATTAAAATACAATTATTTTAATCCATTATTATTTTCTTCGAAATTCATGAAATATTTGTAAATTCAGATTACTGCATAGCAAAACATTTTGTAATAGATCATTGACCGGAAGAGACGTGTTTCATCGCGTTCAAGATTCAGAGGCAGGGCAATTTGTGAAATTCACGATGCCCTGACCGCGTTTTAGCCTTGGCATTGGAAACTTTCTCTGACGGTCAAATGGTTCCAACGGCCCTGTTCTGGTTGGTCTGAGACGCCAAAACTCGTCGATCTCATCGGTGAACGAGAAAATGATCAAGAACGAATTTGGGCCATCAATACCGCTTACTAATTGAGTTTTAAGTAAGTACAGTTCATAATAATATGAACTAAAATAAAAAATTATATATATTATATATAATTGATTTTGAAATAAAATGAACTTATTTTTTAATTATTCTAGGAAAATAATGAATATGGAATATAGTAAATAATACAAAAATAAAAAATAATATAAAATAAGTAAAATAATATTTCAAATAAAATTTGGCTGCTAATTACTAATTCAAAGATCATACCAGTTCATTTATATGAAAAATTTTTAATAATCCCCATAGATTCTATCTCCTATAAGCATAAATACCCAATGACAGTTCGAGTAATAATTTCCTGATGAAGTCACCGTTAGCTTCTTAGTAGTTTCAAATAAGCACGCGCCAATAAAATTTCTCCGAGTATTGAATATACTTATCGCTAATGATTGATCGTAATTGATACCTTCACGTTATAATATATATCTTCATCGATTACTAATGAAATCCGAGAAGTGTAAATTTTTGTTATCATATAGAATGAAGTAAGTTATATAAAAGATCATGAAAAGTAATAAAATTAAAAATATAATTATTATAATAATTTCATTATGATTATTTATCAGTTTTAAAAATCTCTGAAACAAGAAAAAAAATGATGATAGGAGTTTTGTTTTATTATTATTCTGCTAAATTAAATCTTATTTTTCTAAAACTTTCAATTAATTTATAGATTAATTTTTAAATTTCTTTTTAGATAAGTACAATATTATAATTGTATACAGCAATGTTCAGAAAAAAAAAGAAATACATAGAAAAAAAGAGTAACTAGTGAAAGTGCAGACAATACGTACCGGAACAGTGAGCAAGGTCACTTCCGGTGTTCTCTGGGAGTCCCTGACAATAGCAGTCAAGGCCGTGATTGCAGCCATATTCGAAAGGGCAAGGGCAATGAGGCTCGCTGCAAGGTGAGCCGTGGAAAAGCTGGAATTCGTTTTGCTTGTTGACGTTGCAAGTGTTGCTACGACACCAAACGCTCCTGCGGCAAGAGCACCCGCACCTGCCCATAATCCTGCACCGGAACCTCCTAATGCAGCGCCATGGACCAATACCAGGATACCAAATACTACAAGTACTACACCTATAATATTAAATTTGTTTTATTTAAAATTTTTAAAATAATAATTATTAAAATATATTTAAATTATAAATTGAAGAATTCATGTAAAAAATAATCTTTAGAGAAGAAATATTTAAAAATCTTTAATTTCTTTTTTTTTTATCATTCTAGGTTTATTATTACAATTATGTTGCAGCAGAATCATGAAGTTGAAACTTACAATTAAAATTGAATAAGGATCATTTTATGAATTTATCAATTGTAGAAATGAAATATAATAAAAAATAAATAATAAGAAAATATAAATATAAAATATACATGGGATGCACATGAATATGGTAATAATTATGTTCATTTCAATATCACCAGAGAACATGGAATAACAATGAACTACAGCATGGTAATTCTCTACGGTTTGCAAATCTGTAGAAGGAATTACACAAGTATGACTTTCTAAGTGAAATGTTTTCACTTTTACACCGATTTCTATGCAGTTTGAAGAAATGTTTGCTGCTCAGTGGTCAGTCAGTGAAAATTCGTATATATTTTATTTATAGAATTTTAAAACAATCAAGATACCACGCGAAAGTAGAAATCACACTAACAACTCTGTATTCATCTTACTTGTTCATGAATTATATGAATTATAATTTCAGACAAATTTTTTGCTTTCTTAACATTATCTCTTGTAGTTATTAGGATCATTTTAAAAAATTATGGTATATATTCTTTATAATGATGATAATGATGAATTCTAAATATGATAGAATATATTTAAATAAAGAGGTATGTAATATTTACTGTTTGTTACATACGAAATATTTATTATTCATGAACAAAAGTTGTATTTTATATATATGTATTTATATTATGTATTTTATTATCACGATTTTTTAAAATATAAATGTAAATATCTTTTCTGTTTTATTGGAATTAATTAAAGTATTTCAAGAAATGTTTTCTTTGAAAATGCGTCAAGAACGATAATGAATGAACTTGTAAGGATAATATACATATTAACATAAATTTAAATAGTAATCGTCATCAAATATCATATTTAATTAATAGGAATTCGTTATCTAGTTGAAATTGAAATGTCTGGTAAACACGTTTGCCGTGAATCCGTGATGTTATTAATTAAATTAATTCTAATAAAACAGGTTTTTGCGGTCATTATTGCGAAGTAATGTCAATTGTTTTTATAAATCAAATATATCTTTATCTAATATTATTAATTGAAAATAGTTGATATACAATCAAATTATTCAATATTATTTATAAAAAGAATTAACTATTAAATAATGTATTTCCCAAAATAATTTTGAATTAAATAATTTCAGAAATTTATTTATTTTTTTATTATTTATTTTATACTCTATTCAAAGAATCCTATCATATAAAATATAAAATAGATATTAACGTAAAAAACTTAATAAAAAATTTAATATAAATTCTTACAAAATGTATTTTAATAAAAGAAATAAAAAAAAATATAAAATAAAATTTAAAATAAAAAAAAATATAAAATAAAATTTAAAATAAAAGAAAAAATATTTCTTATAAAATAATAAAAATAATAAGAAATATAAAATTACAGAAAATTTCCAAAGATAAACGTACCTAAAAGCAATTGCCCACAAGAAGTGAACATCAAAATAGTTGATTCATCCTTGGACTCCTTGTTCTTCAGTTTCTGTCGATCGTCCGTGCTTGTTACTGTTCGAGGCTGTTGCCGTTGTTGCTTCTCAGAAATAAGGATTTCCTTCGAATGTTTAGACTCGAGGCAACTTTCTGGTTTCGAATCGGATGTGTTCGAGTCCTTCGAGTCCTTCGAGTCCTTTGAATCCTTCGAATTCTTTGAATTATTCGAATCCTGACTTCTAACAGTCGAGTCAAGTGCAATCGCCGCGTTCTCCATACTTTTTTTTTTCTTTTCTTAAAGGCGTTTTAATACATTACTGTACACACCTGTTTCTTCCTACTTCTTCACATGGAGCGTTCCAGGTACGTTCAATCATTTATTTTTTTCTCTCGTGAATTCTTTTTTTTTTTATTTATTAAAGCAATGAATATATTATTCATTAGAGAAGATTTCTTCTCGATCTCGTTCCTTTTTTTTTATTTAACTCTTTCCTTTTCTTTTTTTATTTATTAAAAAAGAATTTATTATTAATAGAAGATTCCTTTCTTAGCTCATTTTTTCTTTATTTATTCTTGTTCTTTAATCTTCTTTTTTTTTTTTACCTTCTTTCTATTTTATGTAAAATATTTGTATTTAATTTGAATTTTAAATATATTTGAACGCATACTGTTTTCTTTCTCTTCTGACTTTTACAATTTATTTGTGTTAATTGAACGAATGGATAGATCGTTCTATTAGAGAATTCTTGAATTAATTAGTATAATAAATTTATTTTTAAGTGGATAGAAATATCTATTTTTTTTTTCCTCTTTTTTTTTTTATTAATTCAAAGCAACTTTTCGTATTTTAATAAAGGTCAATAGACGCCCAAGTCGTTGATCCGGTTGACACAGTCTGTTGAATCCCAACCATCTGTAAATTAAGCAAGCAACATTGATAATCTATGCTCAATAGTGACCGAAATTGCGGTAAGAGGGAATCTTTCAGTTTCTATTGAGAGATAATCCCATTGTGATGTAATATTTTATTGAAATATAATTTCAATATAAAACGGTACCTGTGATATAGTATAATCAACTTGGATTGCAATGAAAAAATATGTTATGTATATAAAAACCTCTTAAGAATTTTTCATGCATTATTAATTCATATATCTATAAAATTAATATCTTCCATTAATTTATATCCTTATATTTTAACAAAATAATTTTAAGGAATACGGATTATTATATATACGATATATATGATATAAATAGAGAAAGAGAGAGAGAAAAAAATATGTTCATCGTTCAATAACTCAATTTTATTTTTAATTACTTACGTTAGATTATTCGAATCATTTCATTCCATTGGTAATCAAAATCCTGATATTATTTATATTTTTTTCGATAATTAATTTAAAGATTTATTTTGAGATAATGAAAATTTTTGTTGATTTTCAAACCTAACAATCTAAATTATTAAAAAATTAGTAAAAAATTATTTGTTATATTCTTATATATATAATATTCTGTAAATTATATTTTTGTTTTTATTATACGTTTATAATATATATGTCACAATATATTTAATAGATATATTTTTTACCTTTAATTGCAAAAAATTCCCAATTCCTATTTTTGTTAACAAATTCTTTTACGATATTTCTTAAATGAGCATTTTTGAATATTACGTGTTATTTTTTGTTCTTTAATTTTATATACTGTTGACGGAATCCATTTTGTCGATAAGTTAAACAAAGATTTTAAATTTTTCTAGAATCAACGCCATCTCGCGTTTGGATCATCGAAGCTCCAACTTGTTACTAGCATAGCAGAATGTGCAAGGAGGTATGCGAATTCGTGTGACGTCATAGACAAGGAAAGCAATATTGTATGAAAAGGATAGAAAGCATTTTCCGCCACACTACATGGAAAATTCATTAATTACTTGTTTTCTACTCAAAATTTCCGCACTTTTGAATTCACATCTTGAAGCTAGAAGCCTAAAGAAATTTCTCGTATCAATTTTAATGTGAAATTCTTTTTAATTAATTATTTATTAGTGATTAACTTCCTATAGTCTCTAATGCATCAAGACGCCATATTGAAAATTCATTATTATTCATTAATTATTCATTTTCTAATAAAAATTTCTACACTTTTAAGTTTGAAACTTAAAGCTAGAACTTTAAACAAGTTTCTCTTATTAATTTTGATGTAAAATTCCTTTTAGTTAATTATTTATTAATGATTATTACGATGAATATTTCAGATGCAAATTTCTATTCCGTAATCAAGTAATAAACAATTATATTATTTATTTAAACATGAGTAAAATTATAAATAAAATTTATATGTGAAAATAGAGAGAAAAGTAACGTCTTAAATGCATATAATTATATTTAGAAATAAATCTTATATTAATAAAAAATTAATGAAAAATCTATTGCGTATTAATGATGTCAATTTTATATGACACATTAATCATTAATAAATAATTAATGAAAACGAAAATCATAATAAAATTGATACGAGAAACTTATATATGATTCTAGCTTTAAGATGCAAGCTTAAAAGTGCAGAAATTTTGAGTAAAAAATTAATAATTAATAAATTTTCCGTGTAGCGTCAAAATGGCCGGACACATTTTCTGTCCTTGTCGCATAATATTGTTTTCCTTGTCTGTGACGTCACAGAATTCGCATACCTCCTTGTACATGCTGCTATGCTAGTAATAAGTTGGAGCTTCGGTGATCCAAACGCTAGATGGCACTGATCTTCAAAAATTTTCGAATTAATTTATAAGAAAAATACTCCGTTAAAAGTTTGTAAGATCAAAGAAAAGAATGCAGTAGATTAATTATAAATTATTTGAACGAGAATATATGATAGTGTAAAGACAAATAATAAAGAAATAATATTCTTGGAAGAATAGATGTATTCGAGGAGTATTTTATACGTGTTTATACATGTAAGTAAATATATACAACACATATATAGTATATTTTTTTAGGTTATAAACATTCGATTAGCTAATAGATTTTGATTATAAATAAATCATTTTATAATAACTACTCATTTATTTTTATTTAAGAATCAGATTTCAAATTAAGAAAATATCAATATATTAAAAATGAATGTAATGAGATGGAATTAACTTATAATTTATTTATTGAATATATAAACAAAACAAAGAAAAAATTTAAAAAATTATTTTAGATCCTATCTTTAGAAAACAATTTCGAAGGTATGCTTAATGTAATCTTGTTATTAAATTAATTAGTTTATCTGAAAACATGAAAGAAAATAAGTTTATAAAATAAATAAAAAATTATTCTTCTCTATCTGCTATTCAGACGATAAACATTTTGCAGATATCATTTGTAATATAGCATGTAATATAACATTATGTACAAAGCTAAAGCAATAAGAGATAACGGTCTATGATCTTTTATATCCCTGTTAAATTGTGTGTAATATTCAGGTAAAATTTATCGTTAATAAATCTATATAATGTATTCTTTGGTCAACCCAAAATTATGCAGTTTTTATACTTTCAGATATTCTTAGTTTAATGAATCATAATGAATTGTACAGGACTGGAAAAAAAAGAAAAAATAAAAAAATGATTTTTATGACATTTTATTTCGAAAACGCGATAGAATACATCCATAGTATTTATAAATATTCTTGATTATTGTATCTTAAATGAAAATGGAAAAAAAGAAGATTTAGAATCCTCAGTAGAAAAAACTATAATATTTTATTTATATTTTAATATATTTGATATATTTTATATATATATTTAAACAAAAAATTTTACTACTAAAATTCTCAATTTCATAGGAAAATATAATCTGAAAAGAAATGATATGAAGCGAAATTCTTCCTAAAATTTAAAAAAAAATTTTTAGGAATATAATTAGAATTTTGAATCATTTTGGTTAATTTTATTATTTTATATTAAAAATGTATATAAGGAAGTAGCATGCAAAATTTTACCACAATTTTATTATAGAAAAATTTTTTTATATAAATTTTAATATATTTACCTATGAAATATTTATTTTTTATTATATTTATCTCTTGCCATTTCTTATGATATAGAATATTTTTTTTGCGATTTTTTTAATTCTGCAAATATTTACTATTTATATATTTATCTGTTATTATTTTTTGAAATACTGAATGTTTTTTTACAATTTTATAATTTTGTGTTTAAAGAATTCAGAAATATACAAAGTGAATCGTATATATAATTTTATCATTTAGAATATCTTATTTTTTTTTTAATATTAAATAATGTTTCAGGTAAAAGTTGAATGATTTCAAGGAAAGTATATTCTGGACAAGAAAAATACGATGTCTGTAAATCAAGTACAGTTAAGATGAACAATCCAGAAAAATTCTGTGGTTCACGATGTGCAGCGACCTTGAAGTAACTAGTATGTAAGTTTGTCCTTCTTCCGTGGTTAAACAGGAAACATTTTAAAGAAAGAAACTGATCTTTCGATTCTATACTTCATGAATTCAATTTAATTTAGCAATTAAATTGAGTGAAATTAGTCAAATTTATAAAAAAAAAAAATCATAAAAATTTTATTTTTAATAATATTTAAAACAAAAAACAAAATATAATTTCTAAAATAGAATTTATAAATTTCATAACTCATTTATTTCTTCTTGTTAAATTTCGCTTGTATTCAATAATAAATAGACTGTAAAATGTTTATGTAAATTAAATTTCTTATGAATATAATAAAAAAAATGAAATTTAAATAGAAATTTTTATTTTTAATTGAAACAATTTAAAATTACAAGAAGAGATTACTTTTTCATATAATATACTTTATTTTTATAATTTTATACATTTAATTTTAAACTAATGAACAAATTACATATATAAATATTATTTTTTGAAATTATTAGAAAAAATGAAAGTTTTTAAAATTATTATTATTAAATATCATTAACAAATATTTTATTTTAAGAATCTAATATATTTTGTATATTGCACGCTTTTTAATTTTTTGTAAATACATAAATATTCGCATAAACTAATAAGAAATATGAGATATGATTCATCAAACAACTCTCCTTTACAGCCGATCTAATTTTACTATTTAATGAAAAATGTTAATATTTTTCATCTATATGATTCACAACTTCTCAAATCTTTCTAATACATACAATTAGTTGTCTAATTAATTATCTTCAACTTACTTCCATACATGAATTTTTTTTATAAAAATTCTAAAAAAATATCATAATTATTTTATGTGATATTGTTTCACGACGAACACAATTCAGAATTCATTTATTGAAAAAATTAATAATAAATTTTTTGAAGAAAATAAATTTTTCTTCAAAATAAGTATTCAAGTGAAATTTTTATCTTTTTTTTTATTTGCTATGTTCTTTTATCTTAAATAATATTATTTAAATAATAATAATAGTTAATATATGTTTGAAAGTTGAAATATATATATTTTTGTAAGATATATATATTTTTGATCTAAAGATGAATTCCTTATACTCAATTATTATTATCTTTTTCTTGTTTCTATTTCACTTGTTATCTTCCATTCTTTTACTAAAATATTTAATAAAAAATCATTTATTTTATTTTACATTTATTTGCAAACAATTTTATTTCAAATAAATTTACCTTTTATTGCAAATAATTATTTCTTTTTATTATTTGTTATTTTTATTTCAGATAAAAGCTACTCGAATCTACCACTGGATGAATATTTCACGGTAGACGAAACCGCGATTGGTGTGTACGGTAAATTTCTGACCGGAAAAGAATCCTCAGCGCTTGTACGCGCGCGCGCGCGCATCATGCCGAGGAATTACAATGAATTGCGAGCAAACACGCATAGAAAACTGTCGATGGTGTCTGTTAAATGTTACAATTGTTATCAGAGGAATGTATGAATCAGTCAAAGGAATAGTAATTTTTCACCTGTACTAAGCGATATTTCTACTGGACGACATACAAGAACTTTCACACATAAATGTGCAGCTTTACAGTTACGTTGTTAACTATACACGCTTATTTTGCTATATGGCGGCTAGCTGCTTGAAGGTAAGCACGATTTACCATGGATTGAGTCGTTCGCATTAATTTGAATGCGAAATCCACACGTAATTGCAGTATAATTGTTTGTTTGAAATGCGTTGAAATATTTGAGAAGATTGGAATCAAAGTTCTGAGAAAATGGATTTTTCATGTAGAAATGGAATTCTTGTATAATTGGACAGAAGATTGCAAATGTTGTTATTATTTTACGATTTTTGTTATAATTGATGTAAATTGATGTAAATTGTGTTAAATGCTGAAATATTGAAAAGATTGAAATCGAAGTAAAATTAGAAATTTTATATAATTATGCAGAAATTGTAAAAATGCAAAAATGTGTTGAAATATTTGAAAAAATTAGAATCAAATTTTTTAAAAATGGAATTTAAAATAGAATTGAAAGTTTAGAATGATTATGTAGATTACAAATGTTGATAATATAAAATATGAAAATATATCTGAATAGAAAATAACATATTATTAAATATCAATTAATTAGTAATAAATATCAGAAGCTGATTTCATTACTTTTCTAAAACTTTCAAATAAATAAGGAAGATACAATTATACATGTTTCAATAGGAAATAAATATGATTATAAAAGAAACTTCCTTATAAAAAAAGTTTTATGTGAAAATTTTCGTTAAAAAGATGTTACAATAATAATTTTTATTATGATCATATTCATGTAATTCTCTCAACAAATTGTAAAGGAAAGAAATTGGGTCTATGATTTATTAGGATTTTTTTATCATATAGAATGATTAACATACAAATATAAATTTCTTTTAAAATAATTCACACATTTAATTACAAGACAGATCCATCCAAGTCATCTCTTCATCCAAATAATTACTTTTCAAATATTTTCTCACATAATCTCATTATTAATTCAAAGAAAAATTATTTATACACAATTAGAAATCCTTTTTGGAATAATTTCTATCAACCTTTCACCAAATTACCGTAAGAAAAAAAGATTGCTCAATAGCCAAAGTCTATATTCAACGTATCTCACTTAATTCCATTATCGAACTAGAACAAATTCATGCAAAGATACGCATCTTTCTCAGAATAACTCATATAAACCTTTCACCAAATTACAAGAAAAATTGTACCAGAACCAAACTGAATAATCTTTAAAGATTTTTTATCGAAGATCCGTCAGTGAAATCTTTTCTTTTATACACGATAAAAATTTTTATTAAAAAAGTTAAAAAACTTTCTTCGATCGATAAACTTAAATATTTCACGCGATCTTGTTTTTTTTAAATAAAAAATTCAATAATTATTCATGATTTGCATCATTCTTTGATGATTTAGGAAACATGATGATTTTTGTGAAATAATACAAGAAATATTTTTGTTAAATAACATTTTAGAATTAAAATGTTATATAATTTAAAACTTTTGTTGAAAGAAAATTTTTCAATTATGATAATGTTCTATTTTCTAAATCAGAATTTTTCTATATCAGAATTATCAATCTATAATTTTAACATATATATATATATATATATATATATATAATTGTTTCTGTAGAGATAAAAATTAATATTAAATTTCTTAATAATCAATCTTCTAAAAAGAATATTTCATCCTCTATAATGAATCTCATAAAAAATGTTCCCAGATGAAACATTCTTCATAACCATAAAATCTTTCAGAATAATAACTTTCTAATAACATTTCTTTGTATTATTTGAACAACCTTCTAAAACCAATATTTAATCTTATAAAATCATTTTCAAATTCAACAATGTTTTCAGATGAAATATCTCTCAGCTATAGCAATACTTCTCTATATCATTTGAACAATCTGATATTAATATCTTCAATATATATATATTCAATAAATATTCTTAATAAAAAATTCTCTTGCAATATTATAGATAATATTATAGATAATATTTATATTTAATTGTATAACACAGATCTATAATATACACTTAAATAGTAGAACATATTATAAAAATATTTACATATATTTAATTATATTTCTGTCCAAATATTAATCAATATTAATTTTGTTACAGATACTAACACATGCTTATTAATCCACGACTAATCAAGAAAAAATATTTCTCAAAGTACAAAAGCGAAAATCTGGATCTGTATCCTGCGGTTTCATTAATGTCGTGAACTTATTAGGTCGTAGCCCTGCTGAGTCTCAGAATGCTCGCAAAATAAACATACCAGGTCGTAGTTTATCACGTTCTCTCTTTTGATCATCACATCATGATCAGCCGCACAACGTCGCTGCACACATTTCACTAATGGAAACGTCACACGTCGCACTTTTACGGTTGTACACCTGGTCCAGAGCGCGGCCAGATAACACGGTAAGACACTTTTGCGAAAAGCAAAGACACGGAAATTCACGATCACTTTATTGCACGACCGGCTACTCGTACATCCGATCGGTGACTGGAGTGTTGGACTCGCACGGTACTGCTACTCTCCTCAAGCCTTTCTCCGTCTCTCTTTCTTCCTTTGCATCGTGGAACACTGATGACCGCCCCTCTACTTTTCTGTCCCTCTCCAAGGATTATTATTCCTTTTGCCAAAGGAACACCCCGAAAATTGCTCAACGACCGATCAGCGATCCCATAGGTGCTAGGTAAATCGCGGATAACGCACGCCTTGGTTGTACCGTGGGAATCGAAGGTTTCCGCATGTGGAGTTTGGTTCTTGAAAATAATGAAACATCAAGTGTGAAACGGGAGTGAAACTTTTTTTTTGAAAGATTGAATTCGTATTAAAGAATTTTGAGGAGTTTATAGGAAAGAGAGGTAAGATTGATAGAGGAAATTTGTGACTGTAATAATAATGATTAATATAATATCTATATAACTATTTGAATATTAGAAATATTCTTAGATCAAAATTTTCAACATAGAACTTGATTTTTAAAAAACTTTGAAAAGAAACTTTGAAAAGAGATAATAGAATTGATATAGCTGAATGAGGTAAGTTTTTAGAGATATTAGATATATCGTTAAATCAAAATTTTCCTTTTATTGGTGCGATTAAATTTATTTTCAAGAATTTTTGGAAGAATTGAAAAGAATTAAGAAGAAACTAATATGTACAACTGATGAAAGAGATTTAGGGTAAGTTTTTATATTTGGAATGATTTTTGATTTAGATTTTAGATTTAGAATGGTTTTGATATTTGTCTTTTGAAGAAAAATTGAATTTATTTTTTTGGAAAATCTTGTGGATATTGCAGATTTAAAAAAGTTAAAAAAAGATTCCTTCTAATCTTTAAATATTATTTAAATTTAATTAAAATTGTTGAAAATTTTCATCATTTTAACTAATTAATTCATCATTTTAATTAATTCCATTTTTTTAAACTAAATGATACTATACAGTCAAGAGAAAATCGGTTGATTAAACAAGTACTTTATAATATATGTTGTTTGAAATATTAAAAATTGTTAATTTTAAAATAAACAAAAGAATTAATTTACTTATAGTAAATCTTTAATTGCGGTAATAAATTTGATAAAATACAAATAATAGAGAAACCAAATGGTTTTGTCAATGTACATTATGTTTAAATGTGTTAATATAAGAGCTTAACATAGCTTTTGCGTAATGATGATCTAAACATCGAAGGAGGCAAAGTTGCGTGTACGTGATAGGAATGGTAAAAAGTATGAAAAGATCCGAGTTGTGGTCAGATCGAAAGGAGGATTCCTGCTTCTCTTCGCATTTCTCTCGAGGTCGCTTTAGAAAGGCCGGAGAAACGTCTGGAAGGCCGTGTACGAACACGCGGTCTCGCATCGCTATCGCTGACGTACCGTTCCACGAGGATTTTCCAGAGGTACCAGTGCACATCGGTTTCGTTCGCTTAATTTTTCTGTATATTTACCTCGAATCCATCATTAATGAATATTTAGTTCCAATCCAAATCGTTATACAATAAAAATTGAACAAAATTGCTCGAAAATCGGGATCTAAATACTTATAGTGGTATTAAAAATTAATTAGATATAAAAATTTTTATAAATATATGAAAATTTAAAACGAATACATAATAATTTTTAGATGGATTATTTTAGAGATGAATTGTGCACAATCCAATGAAAATTAAAAAAAAAAATATTAGAAAGTTGTCGTAAATATAAAATATACAATGCTGATTATGATAAATCTTTAATATTTATTGAATATCTATTGTAATAGATCATACGTTACCTCTATATTGTAATAAATAAATATTGAAAATTTTGATCATGCAATTTTATGTACAAATAATTGCAAATAAAGTAGTAATCATGAAAACCACTTTGCAATTCTCTCGAAGATCGCGACACACAGCATAGATACTAATTCGTTAGAAAATGATTTATGCACACATTATAAGGGAACGAGCGAAAGTTCCGCACGTTTGACTGTCCACTTTTTGCAAATTCATCTTAGCTAGATACAGAGGAAAGTTAGAAAACAGTGGTCGTGGGAAATCACGTGTAGATTAACGTATCGCAATAGAACTGTATGTCGTTGCCTTGTGCATTCGCCAGAGAAACAATCTGCCCGGATGCAATAACCTGACCTTTTGCATCGGCATTGCGTTCCTTTTAGAGGTTATGTGGCACAACTTAGTGTTTGCCTCCACGTGTTCTACTTAAATTACTTGATATTTTATAATGAAGATTTTAATCGAGAAAAAATTACTTTTTGTATCATTTATATTTTTATGGAAACTAATTCTTTTTGTAAATTTTTTTTTACATTAATCGAAATTTATTATCATACAGGATAGGCCGTGTATAATAAACCGTAATGCGATTTGGCTCATAAATTATTCATTATATGAATAAATATTTCATAAAAAAAGTTACATGGTGTAGAAGGGAACACGAATAATGTGATGTTATTAATTTTTTATTACTTTCTAGAAAAAATAACAAAAATTGACAAGAGTAATTTTTAATCTGTCGTTTTATCGAAATGTGAATTTTGTATGAGACGAGAGTTTTGTTAGACCAAGATCAACTATGAAGTAACGATCGTTTCTAGGAAAATAAAAAAAAAAATATTTATGCAAATTGATACAGGCGGATATATGCAAGACACTATGCAAGAAGAAGCGCGGGTTAATACGATTCGTCGCGGAAGTTGTAAAAGATCGGTGGAATTTCTCATTTTTTCGCCATGAAAAGTCAAAGAAACCGCGAAGCGCGTAACGAAAACCACGACCCAGTAATTATGTACGCTTGCAAAATTTTAATTTACATAACGACTGGCGTACGAAACATGATGAAGTAATTACACTTGTTCAAGACAAAAGAGAATCTCAGTGGAAGTTTCGTCATCGGTCTTCGTTCGTCAATTGGACTTTCGATAATTTTATGGGAATATCTTTTTATTTTCATTAATTAAAATAGATTTCTTTCTTTTAGCATTTCTTTATTTTTTTAATATTTCAAGTTTCATGTATTCTTTAATTTTTAGTTAAATAATAAAGTTAGGTGGAGCAGATCAAGTCTCATACGTAGGTGTTATATAGAAATTAAATATTCTTTTGTTTCATTTTTTATAGACTGTATATAATAAAGCAATGAAACTTTTACATGGATCAATTAAAAAAGCGATTAAAGCTGATTAATTTAATAGTTTTTTGAAAATCATTCATTATTAAAATTAAAAATCTCGTAGAAAGTAAAATTGATCAATTTGCCTTACTTTCTATTGTACTTTATTATTTAACGATAAAAATCATTATTATCGTAAATTTATCATATATATCGATACTTAATACCAATTATTTTTTTCAAGTAAAACGCGTTCTCCCGTTTGCATACACCGAAAAAAATTCGAAAATGGAAGGGAAATCGTGAGATATATTTGTTGATCGGAACGAAATCGATCTCTGATTATAGATAGATATTATATTCTAGCAAATGCAATGGACCGACACAGATACGCGTTAAAAGTAAATTGGTCTTTGATTCGCTTTTACTTTCATTCTAGCGTGGATCAAACAGTTATTTTTCATCTTAGGATCGAAATTGTCCACTTCCTCTTTGGATGCTTCCGGATGAATCGAGATTACGGTCCAATGAAACGAAACGTCGAGACGTTGTCGTTTGAATCATATTCATTTTTTTTTTTTTTTTCTTATAAAAAGCAAAGTTTAAGATTTAATAGGGATTTAAAAGATTTAAGTATTTTTAAAGTTTGGATTGCGATATTCTTTAATGTTAAACATTTTTATGGGAATTCTGAGAGATACTATAAAATTATTTCATATCTTAAATGTTAATATGCGTAACGCAATTATTCAAATTTATTGACTATGAAGAGTTGAAAGCATATATTTTCCATTGGCCTAACGCCAAAATATTCAAAAATTTTAAGAAGAGAAAGATAATTATTATTATTATTATTTTTTGCAATCTTTTTTGAAATCTTCTTCTTTATGTTACTACTTCTACTTAATCACATTATGAACCTTAAACTTTTATATCTTAATTTTATTTAAATAAATGAAAAGGTATGTAGAAAAATTTTAGAAATTTTCGAACAATTAAAAAAAATATATTTATTAGGTTATATACAATAGAAATTAATAAAAAATTATCGAATCGGATAGATATTTATATAAAACTATCCTAATACAATCCTTTAACACATACATTAAAAATCAAAAGTCTTTCTTTAAAATTATTATTTTTTTTAAATATATTCGTATCATAAATATAATTAATATATTAAAAAAATATATATATATTTTCTATCTTTTACAATTAATTTATTGTTTTATAATTTCGTAATCGCGTGATTAGAATTTTTTTTCCGAATAAAATTTACAAGGGAAATAGCACTGTCGCAAGAAAAGGCAAAGAATGCGATCCCATGTTGCATAGTGCAGGATCTTACGCGATACCTTTACCCGTGTACGCAAAAACAAATTCAGTTAACAGCTATTTCCAATAATTGAAATCTAAAAGAATTCAGTCACACATTCGATCTTCCTGCAGCTGTACTTTATGGAAATTATTTTTTACCTTTGCTTGCACAACACTCGTTTAAATCGATCTGTCATTTTCCTTAACGATGAATAAGCTTCTAAACAAGATCGATCAACTTCTAATCGAATTTTCTAAAACGTAGAAAGTGTATCTTTAATATCTCGCATCCTTATTATATTTAATAATCTCGTATAGCAGAGTAATATAATAAT